ATGCACTGAGAGCCTAATGGCATGTGGCCTGAAATGAACTGGTCAATGAATGAACAGAATACCTTTACACTGGGTCATGGGGGCCATAAGAATACATTTAGTACTGTACTTAAAAATGCATAGGCCATGTTGTTAAGCAGTCCAATCTATATTTCCAGTTTACATGTAAAGACTATAGACATACCCTACATTGGGCAATCCGGCGATTCCTATTTTCAAAGAAGTCCCAAACCGTCCAATCAGTGGTGGTGGCTGCTGTCTATCACCTCCCTTCTGCCAAAAAAAACAATGTGTCAATGTCCATAGAGAGTGAGAGCTCATGGCATTATGTAATCTAGGTGACACATTCAGTAATCTAGGTGACACATTCAGTAATCTAGGTGACACATTCAGTAATCTAGGTGACACATTCAGTAATCTAGGTTACACATTCAGTAATCTATGTTACACATTCAGTAATCTAGGTGACACATTCAGTAATCTAGGTGACACATTCAGTAATGTAGGTGACACATTCAGTAATCTAGGTGACACATTCAGTAATCTAGGTGACACATTCAGTAATCTAGGTGACACATTCAGCAATCTATGTTACACATTCAGTAATCTAGGTTACACATTCAGTAATCTAGGTTACACATTCAGATTTGGCCTGAGCTACTGTAGTATACACAAAACACACCTTCTTGGGAGCCATGTCTTTTTCTTCAGTTTTCACTGCCTACTAAATCTACTCACAATTTACAGTGAAAAAACATATATTGCTGGTAATGTAAGCTCTAGAGACATGAAGCTAATAGCTGTCTAGCTAACACCATTTTCAGTCGACCGCACTCACACTGGCTAACGCCTCACTCTCAAAATAGGACATGCGTCTGGTCGAAATGAAAGATGACACTGGTAAATGGCTAGCTGATCCATGTTTCTACATTTAGAACACACTTGTTAATATTAGGCCTACTGTATTTATGAGCTGAGCCAAGCTTAATTTTGTCATAGAAAATCTCTGCCCACATTGGCAAATATGCACTATATGCACTGGAACATTGGTAAATACTTGTCATATGTGCTTGATTGTGTTGTCTGACACCACAGAACATAGACAACATATGCACACACCAATATCAGTAACCATAGTAGTTATTACAGGAGTCTATCCAAGTGTCAGGCATATAACCAAAATGACAGTCCCTCACACACAATATGACAGTGGCAGGGTGTGCTGGTTAGGTTGCACCTCTTATCAGGGAGAATTTAAATCGGTACAAGTAAGCAGCTGTTGGATTATAGCTCCTTTAACAAGGCGAACAGGGGCCGGGTGGCCATCTGGCATTTCGGGCAAATGCCAGATGGGCTGGTCCATTTTAGCCCAGTGGGCTTGTGTGGGGGCCTCAAGGAAAAAAATGGGCTGTGTGTTTGAAATGTCAGGGCCGATTTCTGGTTCCATTCCGCCCCTGAAGGTGAATCTTCTAGCCTACTCCTTGCCACAGCCTGGTTTATCAGTATGGTTTATCTCCCTCCCCAATAAAATTATATTTCATACTGAACACGAATTGGATTCTATGTCTGCCTGTTATACACCATTATATAGTGAATATAAGTCTTTCCCCACATATTGTTTTTTTTTTTTACTCCCTTGATAACCAGAAAAATTACAAACATCGGATGCAAAATGTGAAAGGCGTCCAACAATCCTTACCGTGCAAGAGCAGGGCTGACACGGAGGATAAACAGGTTGAATACTGTACATTGAAAATTCATGGAGAACAGCATGGCATGCAAGTCTTTGCATATGCAAAATAGACTCACATCGATGATCTGGTGCGTTAGTCTACAAATCGTATAAAAAGAGATACATCTTGATACAGATTTTACAAGACACAAATAACACGAGTTTATGAGAAAATATTGTTTTCTATATAAAATCGGCTACCATCACCATGACCCAAACAAGCTTGTAGGCTAGGCCTACTTTATTTAAAATTTCTGTCGGTTTTTGTAGACTCTCACACACCTGTTTTCAGATAATGATATCAATTAACATATAAAACGACTTACAATTCAAGCATGGCATCATTGCCCCTAAATTGTTTCCCCTCTTAGACAGAAACAGGTGTAGGCCTGTGGACCTCCACCACTCCCGACCATGAGATTACACCGATTAGTTAATTGTCCACAAATAAACTTTCCTCAAAGCCAAAGCAAATTAATCCGTGCAGGGACCGACCAGAAAACGTGCTCTAATCCAGCACCCTGAGTCGTTTAACATGCAGAAAACGAGCCTCTAATAATCTAGATTTGAAGCAAGTCAAAGGCCTTTTGTACCAAGAGTTTAAATGAATAGGTTTGGATTAATCATTTATCTTTTCTCGTTGAACGCCTTGATGGATGCACCGTCACTTAGCCTCACCACAATAGATGCACAGCGTTTTGTTCTACCAAATAAATCATTCTCATTGTTTAAGGTACATTGATCAATCTAATGACTTGTAATAGGCTCCTAATTGCCACAGAAAAGTGCTCTCGGATGGAGTCCTGCATGCGAGATTAAACTCAAAATTCCCACTTGAATGACACTGTTTAAATATTTTCCATGACAAGATTTCGTCAAGGATGCTGGCATTGCGTAGGCCTACCAACTATTACGCAGGCTATCACATTGTTATTATGGTAGGCTTACATGACGAAATTCCAATTTACACTGGCATTCAAAAAGGCAAAAAAGTCAACACAATTCAAAATGAGTATGTGCAATCATATGTGAACCAACACCTGTCATTTTGAAAAATAATCTAATCCTAATTGTTTTAGTGCTATTTTGTTACTATCTGCCTGCACCTCTAAAGTTTTTGTTCGTTTTATATTTCCTTACTTCTTCATAATATTTCCAGAAGTGTTTCAATAATGAGTTAGATGTTGAATAATGTGGGAATAATCACTCTAATTAAAAGCGAGCACTCCATCGAGGGCCTTATCTTCGCCTTGCTCATTGATAAATTATTTCTCTTTATTTAGAGCCAATACATAGAAATAAAACACAAAGAGACAGATAATACCAGCATATCATTATACATAGCAAAAATAAATAACAAATAATCAACAATGAATGACATGGTCCTCATTTTAACCAAAGTTGCATTACACTACAAAACATTTAGAATTGTAGTTTAAAGAAAAGAAAAAGAGAAAGAGAAAATAATAATTATACACATCAGACACTCACGCTGTTCGAGACACTTTGGCATTACAATCAAATTTGTTAATGCAGAATCGACATTTAATAGTGCTAATAGCACACCACAAAAATGGCCATGATTGCAAAAATGAAGCACTTTTCTTGGCTCCGTTCGTTGGATTTGATGAAATTGTTTTATATTAACCGCTCCAAAGGTGGGGATTTAAAGCAGAGAGAGCCTTTTAACAAATTGCGCTTGGTTGACTGGCAGCATTCAAGCTCAATAATGGTGCATTATTCGCCCGTTTTGAATACTGTAATGCACAGCTTTCGGCGAAGCCTTTCTCTGGAAAATTGCTTTAAATTTTGAAGGGATGATAATTCACACCAAAGCAGGCCATTGTTACATTATGTCATTACCCCGAAATGTTTTAACAAGCTGTGAAACACGTTGACATATATTGCATTGTGATCTTTAAAAAATGTATCAATTCCAGGGAAGAAAAAATATATAGTCATTTGGCGGAAAAAAAGGTTAACGTTGATGCGCTCCCCATGTTTTCTCAATGGTTCAATTGTATCTCCAAACGTTATATTCAGATAGCCTAAATCTTTAGTGTGCAATGCTCTATGGTTTCATTGTGCCATATTAAATCAGCCTGCATCGTTGAATGAAATGCATTCGCCAGGCTGACATGAGGGAAACAACATCTCATGTGATTATTATGACAATGTCTGCAATATTTTTCTAATAATTTTATTTTGGTACAGTTTACAGGCTGTAGCCCTTAGAACATCAACCACTCATCAAGTTAATTGTCACTTTTTAATTAACCCAAAATCCCAACTGTACAGCCTCAACACACGCGCGTAAATTGGCACAGACAGACAGTGGGACGGGCGCGAGCGCATTCCGCACACACACACATAGATTAAAAACATGTCCACAATAGCCTCTTAAACGCACACATGGCAACACCGCTTCAGCCTATGGAAACTTTTAAGATAATTCACCTGTTGTATGACATACCTTGTATTGCAAGCGTCTCCACTTTAGTCAGCCATTATTCGTTGATAATGGGTCGGCTTATTGCACTTCTGGCCGGCTGATGAGTGTATGGGAACTTCTGCTGAACTTAATGGACGGTGTGAGCAAGCACATGCCCTGCGCCTATGAACACGATTCCATTCCTGAAAGTGCATGACAGCTTTGGTTTTGACAAATATGAAGGCACTGCAATTCGCATAGATATCTTTTTTTAAATAATCACCAATCCCCTCATGTCATGTCATGAAACATAAAACATTTTTGGGACTCCACGAGGGATAAAAGCAGGGGCAGCTATACATCAAAACATTATATTTTACAAGTATGTGCATATAGGCCTAGAGAAAACAATTTATATAAGAACCTGCAGTTGAAATAAATAAAAAATACAATTGGTCAGAAAGCTTTATGAAATGCAACAGAATGCGGCTTCATGCACCGGAAACAAAATACCTCTAAATAAATCATATCAAATTCTTACCTCTGGCAGAGAACTAGCTTACACCAAAATGAGCTCGATTCTACAATAAAGAGCACATTGAGCCTTGATGGGAGAATACATAAAATGTATAAAAATACCAAATCGTATCTTGCTTGACAGTCAAATCCGCACAACTGTTATTGATTGACGTGAAGCTTTAGCGTTTCTGTCCTTGGTCGAATCTCTCATTGGCTCACTTCGTCCTCTTGCCAAGAATCCAGCGCTTAGATTGGCTGCTTGCTTTTGCCAGCTGTACTTCAAAGAACGCGCTCTCTACAACTAGGTAGTGTAGGAGCTCGGAGCTCGGAGCCAAGAGAGAAATCGTGTGACTACGGAAAAGCAAAGTGCCTGAGTCGAATTGGAAAAGTACACTATTGCAGAACTGTGACCAATTCAACATAGCAAAGACCCTGGATATGGCTACGTCTATACTTGGGGTAAGGCGACAAAATATTGGTTTTCAATTACGTGCGTAAAACATGCCTAAAGTAGGCTTTATACTTTCACACTTACTAAAAAGTATAGGCTACTTTGCGGTCATTATTCTTTTATCGTTGAGTTTTGTTGTTACTGTAGGTATTGAAAGTGCTTGTTTAGATGTAATTGTGACTCAAGTATCTGTTTATAGACAACTTTCCTCAATCAAAATAATTTGAGCTTTTGCTAACTTTCATAATAGGTTACCCACATGAGCAAACTTTCGAGACCTGCAGTAAACTCTCCACTGAGTGACATTACTGTATTTCCTCCATGATTGTGTCTGTTTATTTGGTTCAGTGGATATTTAGCTCACATTTCGATACACTCTTTATGAATGAACATTTTTCACTAATTGCTATCCAAACAAGCACAACAACCGAACGGTTAGACGACCACATAGGCAGACGCAAATTATACTTATAGAAAATACATGTATCTTATTTACAGAAAGAAAATTGTAGCTAAATGTTGCTTGCAATGTTCTAAAGTACATTGATGTATGTCTTTGCAGGAAGAACCACGATTTGGAACTACACCTCTAGCTATGCTGGCTGCTACTTGTAACAAAATTGGCAATACCAGTCCCCTTACCACTCTACCTGATTCCAGTGCTTTTTCAAAAGGCGGATTTCATCCTTGGAAAAGATCCTCTTCTAGTTGCAACTTGGGATCCAGTCTCCCTGGATTCACTGTAGCAACAAGCCGCGGATCGACCGGACTAACATCAACTACTGGCACAGGCAACAGCGCGTTCTGCTTAGCCTCCACCTCCCCGACCACCTCTGCGTTTTCCACAGAGTACAGCAGTCTGTTTTCCAACTCAGCGAGCATTTCGTCCCAAGAGTCTGGGCAGTCAGCCTTCATCTCCAAAGTCCACACATCAGCAGAAACCTTGTACCCGAGGGTAGGGATGGCACATCCGTATGAGTCGTGGTACAAGTCTGGTTTCCATTCAACCATCTCGGGCGATGTTACTAATGGGGCGTCCGCGTGGTGGGACGTTCATACCAACCCTGGCTCATGGCTCGAGGTCCAAAACCCTGCAAGCTCGCTGCAGACCTCCCTGCACTCCGGGACCCCCCAAGCCATACACTCTCAGCTCAGTGGCTACAACCCTGACTTCTCCACTTTGACACATTCGGCATTCAGCTCAACCGGTATAAGTCCCACGGCATCGCATCTTCTATCAACTAGCCAACACCTGTTAACACAAGAGGGATTCAAAACAGTCATTCCAACATACACGGACGCCTCTGCCACCAACGCTATGATTTCGGGTTCCAGTTCTGGTTCCTCAAGGTCATCCAGGAGGTACTCCGGCAGAGCCACATGCGACTGTCCGAACTGTCAGGAGGCTGAGCGGCTGGGGCCTGCAGGGGCCAGCCTCCGGAGGAAAGGACTTCACAGCTGTCACATTCCAGGCTGCGGTAAGGTGTATGGCAAAACCTCTCATCTTAAAGCGCATTTGAGATGGCATACTGGCGAGCGGCCCTTTGTCTGCAATTGGCTTTTTTGTGGCAAAAGGTTTACAAGATCAGATGAACTTCAGAGACACCTCCGTACCCACACCGGTGAGAAAAGGTTTGCTTGCCCAGTATGCAACAAGCGCTTTATGAGGAGCGACCATTTGAGCAAGCACATTAAAACCCACACTGCCGGTGGTGGAGAAGGCAAAAAGGGAAGCGACAGTGACACCGACACCAGTAACCTGGAGACCCCCAGGTCCGAGTCCCCAGAACTCATTTTAGACGGGGTAAACCCGAGAATCAAGGGCCCATCTCCTCATGACGAGCCCTGAATGGCTGTTATTTGAATGACCTTGAAACTAACTTTATAAAGCAAATTACCAGTAGGCTATCAAAACTGGTACATGTATTAAAAACGGGTCTGGGTTTGAGAGACAGTATTGGACGAAAATAAGATTTTACGCAAAGCATTTGAAAATAATAATAATTTGATCTTAATTGAATATGTTCAACTCGTTATTCACCATCAAACGAAAAGGATAATTATTCTATATTATATGAAATTACTTAACTATAAAGCTGTCAACTTAAAAATTAACCGGAGTACTTTTTACGATCAGTGCGTAAAAGGGGCGAGCTAACCCAAATGAACTTGGTTGGCCCATGTGAGTCGCCATCATATTGTACATATTGACAACAAACGATGTGTTATTTTCATGTAAATGTGAATTATGATTGTTTCATTCGTGTTTGGGATCCTGGAATTCAGGGAGTTTACTTTCAATGCACTTTGTGGATATGTATGTACACAGCTTTTTCAATTCAGTTAACCATTTCATTTCTTTGCTACAAATATATAAATGTTTACTTGTATAAAGTCACACGTATAAGCCTTTCATTTTGTCATAATTAAAATGATCTCAAATCTGAGGCAGTAGTCGTGTGATGGGAATGTTTCACTATATTGTGTCCCATATTTGTTTTCATTATGCGAAATGAAAATAAATGATAAACAAAGGTAATTTATTTGATGGTATAAATTGTAAATATGAACGATTGCCAAACGTAAAATGTAGATAGGCAAGAGTGTTCCTTTACATAAAATCAATCATACATTGCTGATATAGGCAATCGCACATTGACGTGCATTCTCTCTGAGGAATAAATCAATAGTTAATGCCCCGGAAAAGACATTTCATGCCCAAATGAAAATCTTGTTAAATGGTATTAATTATGACTTGGAGCACATTGCAACCCCATGTGTCTTGTATTTGCGATTAGAGATTCGTGTATTATCAAATATCTAATTAATCTCCGAGACATCATTTGTTCAGCTTTACTTTATCTGGGGGCTTCCAGGGGGTTTTGATGACAAAGGCCTCCTGAATATTTATTTTAATTGTCCAAATTAACTGATTTAATTTGCATGTCAAACGGAAAGATGGCAGTCCAAGAATAAGGATAAAGCATCTCTAAGCTTTCCTTTAAACTCTACACTTGATTTGATGTTATGGGAACTGTTTCTAAACTTTTGAAAAGAAGAAGGGGTAAAAAGCCATATGCAAATGATGAATTTGAAATGCTCTTGTCGCGGCGCAGTCAAATGGTTCCTGCATGTTATTTGAATATCAGTGGCCCCGTATTGAAAGGGTTCAAGGATGCTCTCTGACTTCTTTGTGCTTACCCAGTGCAGCGTCCGATCTCAAAGAAAAACCCGGGGAATAATTACAGCGTGAGCCCAGGCCTGGGAATATGTTAGGGAGAGGCATCTCATCTAGATAACCTCTTTCTGAAGAGGAAGTTAAATTGACCAGAAGGCAATAGAGGAAAATTATTTTCATTTCCTTTTGTGTGGCTGGCTTTGAGGAGATCACGAAAATAATAATAAAAAATAAAATGTAAATTTTTCTATAACCACGAATTCGAGTTTAAGAATAAACAGCTTAAATTGTCAAAGACTAGAAAAGACAACGTATTATAACCTATATTTTGCATTTAATATAAATGTGAACTTTTAAATGTAGCCTACAGGTGAAATAAAATAGGCCTATTCAATAGGCTATTATAATATAACCGAACATTAATGATAAATTAATGCAACCTGGAGTTAAAAGTTTATGTTTATTTGTGATAAAATAGAGGTTTATTTGCAGTGACTTTCTTTATGTTCTTTTTATTTATTTTTTGAAAAAAATTTTGGGTTATTTGGCCGCATAGGTACATTAAGTAAATTACTGTTTTTCTTGTGGGCAAATATAATATTTTCATTACACACTTTAGTGGATTTGAATTTCGTTCCATTTTCATGAAGACATAAATAAGTATTAGGCTGTAATTCATTAGCATAGTTTGCTATTATATGGCTACAAAAGGGCGTTAAATTCAACACGAGCCAAGTGCGTCAAAATGCTTCGGGGAGAGAGACGCCTGGGGTTGCGGACAGTAAAGTGCTGTCATTTATCGCTTTGTTGCTTTTCCATGGAATGCCCTCTCGCTGAGCATTAGGCAGAAGTCATCTTTGTTTTCAAGACACAATAAAGAGAGATCAAAGAAGAGAACCAGTGCGACTTTACCGGACACGGGAAACATCTCACTGCTCAAGGCCTCGGGCCATTCTCCTCTTGTCCCCAGGGTCAAAAACTGTCAATTTCACAATGGAAGGTCACGAAAAAATATTTGTATTGTGATAATGATAAAATCACAATTCATCAAACCAATTGCCATAGGTCCACAGCATTTAGGTACACACCTCGCACCATCATTGCAAAAGGTTAAATAGTCTGTCTATACAGAATATACTAATCTGAAGCGACTGAAATAAAATAAAACATGCAAGCAATTCTCGACTTTCCTTTTCCTGATCAGGAATTCTTATCAAAGCATATCATATCGACGCAGTAATTATCAATCTCATTGTTATTGCTTTGCCATAAAATATATGGCTCCAAAACAAATACGGACTGGTAGGTTACACAGTTCAATATGTCAAATCTCAAATGAACCCCAATGACCTCATTCTTTCTTCTGTTTTATCCGTCATGATGATAATGTCATGCAGGTAATGCAACAAGTAATCTCCAAAGGCCGACAGGCGCGCAATGTTGCGTAAATCATGGGCAGGAAGAATAAAGTTACATGCATTGATTTCGATTCAGAATTGGGTATTCATTGTTAAATATTTGAAACAAACTTGATGTCTACACACTAATCACTTACGCAGGCCTAATCGTATGCATCGCATAAGGAACAATCATAGATTGATTGTCATTAGTCAACCATGCTCCTGTTTAGGGCACTTCCAAAAGACCACTGTGAAACAAGCCTACATAATTAGGCTAAACTTGTAACAAATGTAATGAAGCACGGTCACAACCATGTGAGCACAGTTGACTATATTTAAAGTTCGAGGTGCAATAATATTCTTATAGTATGCTGAAGCGGGTTCTCGGGACTGAAGTGACAACCATGAATAATAGTGCATTCAAGACATGCATTTGTTCAATAATCTGACAAACGGAAAACATTTCTGTGGTTCAAGTTATTTTAGGTATACTGCTGCCCTCTAGTGGAGGAAAATAAGAACTGTATTTGAGGAGCAGGGATGTAATCACTAGTCCAAACAGTTGCAAAAACTGAACGTTTTTCAACTAAAACAATAGTTTCTATTGGACACATTCAGGTAGGTCCCTCCCCCGTTTAATTCCGTTTGCTTCTGTTCAACATTTTGCAACAGAATCGGCATAGTCTGAGTCACTGCTGCTCCCACGGGGGTATGAAAAAAAAGTGTGTGCACTCACTGACTGTAAGTCGCTCTGGATAAGAGCGTCTGCTAAATGACTAAAATGTAAAATGTAAATGTTGTAATGAATACGCCCCTGCACTCATTTTACTGTAGCAGCCAGCTAGCAGGTAACACCAAAACATGATGGATACTATAGGCTACTAAAACCTTGGTTTCTATGTGTTTGTTTAATGTTTAATAAGTGGGCCCCCCAAGAAAAATCTACATATTAACAATAGCATCATAAAACCTTCAAAACATTACACTTTCGTGTCAAAAATGTTTACATCAGCAAAATAAAAAGGTATCACTGGCCCAATTTGTAAGATTGTCTACTCTCACAGTTCAGTGTTTTCTCTCAGCTCTCCCTCTGCTTCTGGCTCGTTTCTGCATCTCCCTCCCTCCCTCTGCTCCTACTCCTACTCCTCCCTTTGCCTCCCCTCTCTCTCCCTCCCTCTGCTCCTACTCCTCTCCTTCTCCTTTGCTTCATCTCTGCTCCTACTTCTATTCCTCTCTCTTCTACTTTTCATCTCTCTCTCTCTCTCTCTCACGCTCTCCCTCCCTCTCTGGGAGCTGCTACTGGTTCTCTGCCTCTCCCTGCTGTCGGTTCTGTATCTCTCCTGACCTTCATCTTTCTCTCTGGACAGTACTTTCTGGCCTCGCTCCTGCCTGGCTCAGTCCTTGTTTCTTTCTCCTCTCTGGTATCGTCTTTGTGCTGTTTCTGTCTGGAGGTTGGGCTCCGTGACCTGCTCCTGTGAGAGGAGCCCTAGGTCTTACTCTTGACTCATCCATCACTCTCCGTGTTGTTATCACCACAGGAGTAATTTCTCTTGCCCTTCTTCTTTCTCTTCTGGCTCTCAGAGTCTGAGTCACTGCCGCTCCTACTTTCACTGGAGCTGTCAGAGTCTGAGTCACTGCTGCTCCTACTTTCACTGGAGCTGTCAGAGTCTGAGTCACTGCTGCTCCTACTTTCACTGGAGCTGTCAGAGTCTGAGTCACTGCATCTCCTACTTTCACTGGAGCTCTCAGAGTCTTTGTCTTATTTTACAATAAGCATATTATATTCTAAACAACTAAATCTATGAATGGTGGTGCTCTCCTACCTGAGGAGCTTCTAATTTCTGTTTGGTGGTCAACGACTTCAGGAATTCAACCTCAGGATCCTCCTCTTCTTCATTGACAACATACTCCTATAGCATAAAAACAATTCGTAATAAATCAAACAATTAAAATAAAAAAGCATGCATCAAATACTAACAAAACATGAATAAAACTTCATAAAGAAGAGATGTCACAAATGTTTAGAAGCGAAGTAAGTAAGAGTAGAACAACCCCTGCTTCTGTTTGAGGGGGGATTATGGGGGATGGGGGTTAAACTATATACTATTGCATCTGGTGTTGCAACACTCCTATAATTTTAGCAGTTAGTCTCATCACATCTGCCCAATTGACTAAACTTGCAGCGACTGGAAGAGCTCAGTGGTTTACTCTGATAATTGGCCATTTTTCAGCAATCACATTTAGACCGGGGATCTGCCATGGATATTGTTTGTCTTTTTCTTCAGGGTGGAAGAGGAACAGAAGATTACCTGCGATGGATCACAAACAGTAGAATTTCTTCCAAGGACACATTTCTTCAGGGCAAACACACTGTTTCACATCTCCACCATTAACTCGGAGGGGTGCATCGACGGACCTGTTAGCACAAATCACAGCCTCAAAGTCCCATTGATGTCTGTCCACATCCGTCACTGCTTCCACAGTGGGGAATTCAGGGGCGGCTTTGTTAACAGAAAGGGACACCAAATCAACTCACTCGTCTTCAGGCTGAGCAAATCATACAATATCACTCTCCCAAAGCAGTGGTTAGTGGAATCAGAATACACAAGAATTGCATTTTTCTCCCAGCACAGGAGGGGCTCCATTATGGCCCTCCACCATCAACACCATGCGCAAGACTCTCCCGTGGTAAACATGAATTTACTACTTCACTTCCTGATTGTAGGAGTCAGAATCAGCTCCACTCTGGAAGCTCTACAGGACACCAGGAGTGATGAAAACTACTGCTACAACATGTTACAAGACTTTCCACAAATGTCCAATGTAATACTGAATGCCCATTCTATTGGACAAATTATTATTGCAATTTGGCTGCAATAGATGCATCATAGGTTCTTTATTCAAATTATTTCAAAGTCGGTGCAAAAAAAAGAGAGGATCATTTCATTGTTAAGAATGAAAATATGAATATAAACGTCATAACATTTAGTTTAAAATAAACAATTAGCTACATCTGTGAAATATTATTTGGAATTAGCAGTCAACCTTTTTCCTCTATTTATCCAGGTAGGTCAGATTGTTATTTGTACCTGCTTCCTCTGTGGGCGCAGCGCTGGCATTGATCCCAGACAGGCGGAAGAGAGGGCACTCTGTCTGTATTCACATGGCCCTATTTGTGACACTTGACGCATCTCACGTTGCGCACCTGAAAATCACAGGTCATTAGACTGGACTTATCCATTCATTCCATCACTTATAACACCTCCCATACGACCCAATTGCAATGACGACAAGCAAAGCATATATACTACATAGACACCTGCCATAATGTAAATTAACACATCGTTATCCCGAGTTAAATATAATCCTTTACTTTAGCACCACCAAGTGTCAAATGCCATCACATTTATTTTGTTAATAGGATAATATTTAGCCTAGCTCTGAGGGTAATCACATTTAACAGCAGATTGTCATAAATAGGTATGTCATGAGTTAATTCAACACAAATGGGAAAACGGCACAATATTAATCTATGCAAAAGTTTCATATATTCACCTGAATTCCAAATGGTTGATCTCTAACAGCCATGTCATCCTTGGCATACGTACAAAGATGAAAGCGAAAGTATCACCAAATGCAAAGGTCAACTAATAGTAGGACTCAAGTCATCTGAATATTTATTTTGATCAACACAATTCGCAACTTACTTCTCTCGAGGGGACGTCTTTTGCCACGCAACTTGATTTCTGATTCTCCTTCCTGTAAAATAATATAAAAATGTTACATTTTGAACAATAATAAACTAACATATGCCTTTAAATCTACAACATTGACCAAACTAGCAATGCTTGCTTTGAGAAACAAGTATGCAACTGTGAACAAGAGAGGGACTCTTATTAAACATTGCACCTCCTTGGTCTCCTCTTCTCAGTAGTGCAGAGTGTGGGAGGACGGAGTGCAGTCATATGGTTTCATTTGTATTATTCAGTATGGTAAAGATGCAGAACCAAGATGGATGTAGTTAACATTGTCTGCCGCAGGTGGAACTTCATACATGAAGTTGAGACCATTCTTCACACGATCATCTCCCATCAACAGTCTATGAGAAAGGTTTTAACAACTCAAAAGGCAGACAATGGTTATATCTGTTATATTATAAATTAGAGCTGTGAATTTACACAAGACAAAATATATGGTCGAAGCACGGGACATGCGTTCGAGTTCGTCTGATGCAGTGTAGCAATCCTAGCGAATTATATTATACATTATAATTCCCACCAAGTGGGTTAACCCAGCCTAAATGGCACGATGCGTAGGTTGTTTGCCTGTTACTCTGCGACCAGAGTTTGCCTCCGTACGCCACAATATATTTCAGTGGGGAAATAATGAGACTAAATAAAAAGGCCTATGTAAAGGCATAGATGGAACAATGGAGATCAAATGTATCTCGAACATGTTGTGTAGCCACAGATCATTGGACCATCTGTAACCAACCTGTTGTTCTAAGCGTCTTGTTCTTTTAGGTACGAATTCATTAGATCCTCCTGCTTTTTCGCGAAGGTTATTTTCTGCTCTGCTATCCATACCTGTGTGATGATACAAGGGATAAAGTTGGCGAAACATAACCAAGTCATATATTTTTTAGATAGCTATGCTATCTAATTTGCCATAATTGTCCTCATAACCAATTTAAATCCTAACGTTAGCTATCTATGAATCAAAGTGATACATGTCAGATGGGCCGCAATTCATTTACCTAGTAACATTTAACAAGTATATTGTCGGCTACAATTTGTGATCCGGTACTTGGCTGCAGCGACAGGTAACATGCACCAAACTGAAGTCAACTGATTATTTCAGATTGTAGTCTAGCAATGTCCAGTGTATGGTTAAATGATCGTGTGTGGGGGGCAGAGAGAGTATTGGAAGAGAGTGCTGAGGAGGAGGACTGAGGAGGCCCTTCTTGGCATGGATTTTGTCAAGTGAATATCTGCCAGCTGAGCTCCAAAAGTATTGGGATAGTGATTTTTGTTGTTGTTTTGCTCTGTACTTCAGCACTTTGGATTTGAAATGATACCATTTAATATGAGGATATTTTCATCCATATCGGGTGAACCGTATAGAAATTACAACCATTTTTATACATAGTCCCCCCATTTTAGGGACCAAAAGGATTAGGACAAATTCACTTATGTGTATTAAAGTAGTCAAAAGTTTAGTATTTGGTCCCATATTCATAGCACGCAATAACTACATCAAGCTTGTGACTACAAATTTGTTGGATGCATTTGCTGTTTGTTTTGGTTGTGTTTCAGATTATTTTGTGGCCAATAGAAATAATGGTAAATATTAATTTGTGTGTCTGTAATTTTCTCACTCATCATTATTCACGATTCATTCAGGATGATCAGTAATCATGGTAGCATCCACATTAATGTATAAGTGTTTAGAAACATATTATATTCTTATTTACAATAAAAGCAACTTCAAAATGCCACAATACATTATTAACCATTAATTTCTATTGGGCACAAAATAATCTGAAACACAATCAAAAGAAACAGCAAATGCATCCAACAAATTTGTAGTCACAAGCTTGATGTAATTATTGCGTGCTATGAATATGAGACCAAATACTTAACTTTTTACTACTTTAATACAAATGTAAGAGAATTTGTGCTAATAATTTTGGTCCCCTAAAACGGGGGGACTATGTACAAAAAGTGCTGTAATTGCTAAACGGTTCACCTGATATGGATGATAATACCCTCACATTAAAGCTGACAGTCTGCACTTTAACCTGTCCCATGTGGCTCAGTTGGTGGAGCATGGCGCTTGCAATACCAGAGTTGTGGGTGCGATTCCCATGTGGGACCAGTATGGAAAATAAACTATGAAAATGTATGCACTACTGTAAGTCGCTCTGGATAAGAGCGTCTGCTAAATGACTCAAATGTAAATGTAACCTCATAGTCATTATCCTTTCAAAGTGCTGGAGTACAGAGCCAAAACAACAACAAAAATACTGTGCAGTATATGTTCCTGTCTGTAGTTTGTCATTCTTCAACTAAGTATTGCTCTGGTATTTGTTAATTATTGCTGGTAAAATAAAAATGCATTGCACTATGAAGCACAGAATGAGGACTCATCAATGTGATGGTTATGTCTTGGCAGACTTGGTCTGGAGAGAGCTGAGACTGCTCAGAAGACTGTGGATGTTATTGCTGAGCTGCTGGAGATATATGGCATGGGAGCAAACTGCACGAAGGACCAGTCTGGCTTTACCTACCACAATAGCTTCCTCATCTCATACAGGACTGAGTCCTGGGTGATTGAGACGTCTGGGAAGTACTGGGCAGCAGAGAGAGTGGAAGGTAATTAGCTATCAGGGTTTGAGTTTGCCCAACTTGAAAACTTTTTTTTGTTGGTAATATGTTGTATCCTCCTCTAGATGGATATCGTAAAATCTCCAATTAATACTCAATAACAACCAAGATAAATAAGGAACACCCTGGGAGTATGCCAAGAGCCAAGGCTGGTGGGATGGGAAGGCCCCGTTCAGTTTCGCTGAGACGTACTCTTTCATGACTACAGCCAGAATAGAGATGTCTGGCAGCCATTACTGCGAAGTGCGGAACCTACTGGAGAGAAGCAAAGGTTAGTTGGTTAAATATGAAGATTATGTACATCTTTAGGTTTAGTTGTTTGGGTCAAGTGTAGAAGAATTGGGTTTGATGAGATAATTTGAAACAGCATTGAATCCATATAGCATGCGAACAATTGACAATGAATCAGAGTATTTAGGACATATCACAGCTGAGACGATGATGGATATCCTGAGGGACAAGGAGAGTTGCATCAACATGGAGGGTGTGTTCATGACAACAGGAAGCATGGTGTCTGTCGTACCAACAGACCCCACCCTGCTGGGGGTGCACTACATCACTGGAACTCCTGACCCTGAGAGGTACAGTATGGAGCTGACACACCCTACCTAGCAATGTTATTGTTCCATCTCAAGTTTATGCAAATGTATGTCAAATTAAGGATCCTTTCTCACCCAACAGGTCGGTTTTCAAACCTTTTGTCTTTGTGAAAGACATTAAACAGTTGAAGCAGACTAGCTCTCCATGTCATGGTCCTGATGACCCTGTGAAGAAGATACCCCACTTCCAGAGCAAGCCACATCGCAAACATCCATTGTTTGTCGAACATGAGGGGGTGGTGGTGGCTGCAATCATTGATAGCACCAAGGTACGAAACCTTTCCAAATCTATACATCTTAACTCTTTAAAGATTAAGCAAATATTTGGCTTAATTTTGGATTGTATTATTTTTAGGACAAAGGAAAGAAGATCATGCAGAATATGAGAGTTAGAAAAGGAGAATGTGGCTGAGATGGAGAAACTGTTAACAAATGGTAATGTCACGAATTCCGCCGAGACTGCTCCTCCTCCTTGCTCGGGCAGGCTTCGGCGTTCGTCGTCCCCGGAGTACTAGCTACTACCGCTTGATGTCTCGATGTTTGTTTGGTCTTGTCTTGTTAGTGCACCTGTTTCGTGTTATGTATTGATTAGGTCACCTATAAGTTTCCTTTAGTTTTGTTTGCAGTTGTGTGTGATTGTCCGCCTGTCCGTTGATGTATGGTATTTGTTCTCGTGTTTATAGTGTATTTACGCACTGTATGCGTAATCGCTCGCCTCCAGTGTTTGAGGCCCGTTATTTTGTATTGTCTTGTTGACTAGTAAAGTCGTTTTGACTGAGCTTCTGTGTCCTGCGCCTGACTCCAACACCGCATCCACATCAGCTTGTGACAGAATCACACACCAATACTATGGAGTCAGCAGGAGCAGCTTCGGCGACCGAGTCGCTGGAGGATCAGGTCAGCTGCCAGGACGCCAGGATCCAGCAACTCGGCTCCACCATGCAAGAGGTGATGAACACCCTGCGCCGATGGGAAAGGGGAGGCGTGCCCACACCTCCTCCTACCTTACCACCACCATCGGCCAGCCCCACCAGACCAGCTCCGGAGTCCAGTGGGATTCGGCTCTCGCTCCCGAGGGCGTATGATGGCACCGCAGCCGGGTGTCAGGGGTTCCTCCTTCAGGTGGAACTCTACCTGGCCACCATACACCCGGCGCCCTCGGGATACGAGAGCATTTCCGCCCTCATCTCCTGTCTCTCCGGCAAGGCGTTGGAGTGGGCCAACGCCGAATGGAGGGGAATAGACGCCGCCACCATCAGCTACGCGGAGTTCTCCCGCCGCTTCAGGGCTGTGTTCGATCACCCTCCTGAGGGTAAAGCGGCAGGGGAGCGTCTGTTCCACCTCCGACAGGGGAAGAGGAGCGCACAGGAGTTCGCCCTGGATTTCCGGACTCTAGCGGCGGATGCGGGGTGGAATGAGAGGGCCCTCATCGACCACTATCGGTGTAGCCTACGTGAGGACGTTCGACGAGAGCTGGCCTGCAGGGACACCACTCTATCCTTCGACCAGCTGATGGACATGTCCATCCGTCTGGATACCCTGCTGGCCACCCGCAGACGTCCCGAGTTGGGGCCGTCCATTCCATCCCCCAGCATCTCCGAGCCTAGCCCTATGGAGCTCGGGGGTGCTGGCGCTAGAGAGAGGAGGAGAGAGAGTCCCCTGCACCAACTGTGGCCGTGGAGGACACACTGCGGCTAGGTGCTGGGGAGGGTCTCCAGGGAGTCGGGGAAACAGGTCACGCACTGGGGAGTCATTCCAGGTGAGTAGGCGCCCCACCCACCCAGAGCTCTCTGTTGTTCACTTGTGTATACCTGTGGTATTTCCTCAGGTTGCATCTCATTCCCAGCATAAGGCGCTAGTCGATTCAGGCGCAGCTGGGAATTTTATTGATCGGAAATTTTGTATTAAGTTAGGGATTCCCCTCCTGCCCGTTGATGCACCCTTCTCTGTCCATGCCCTAGATAGCCGCCCGTTGGGATCTGGGTTGATTAGGGAGGTCACAGCGCCACTAAAGATGAAGACGCAGGGGGGTCATGAGGAGATCATTCAGTTGTACCTGATCGACTCTCCTGCGTATCCCGTGGTGCTGGGGCTTCCTTGGTTAATCACCCATGACCCCACCATTTCGTGGCAACAGAGGGCTCTCAAGGAGTGGTCTGACCAGTGTGTTGGGCGATGTTTAGGTGTTTCCGTTGGAGCGACCACGGTGGAGAGTCCGAACCAAGTGCCCGCAATGCACATTTGGCACTCATATTCAGCAAGACTAGGGCGACGCGATTGCCACCTCATAGACAGGGAGATTGTGCGATAAACCTCCAGACAGGTGCGGCACTCCCGCGGAGCCATGTGTATCCTCTGTCTCAAGAGGAGACGGCGGCTATGGAGACATACATAGCCGAGTCCCTGAGACAAGGATACATACGGTCCTCCACTTCCCCTGCGTCCTCGAGTTTCTTTTTTGTGAAGAAGAAGGATGGAGGGTTGAGCCCGTGTATTGATTATCGTAGTCTCAATCAGATCACGGTTAAATACAGTTACCCTCTTCCTCTGATTGCGAGTATGACTGAATCATTACGCGGAGCGCGTTTCTTCACAAAACTGGATCTCAGGAGCGCCTATAACTTGGTGCGCATTAGGGAGGGAGATGAATGGAAGACGGCATTTAGTACCACCTCAGGTCATTATGAGTATCTCGTCATGCCATACGGGTTAATGAATGCTCCTTCAGTCTTCCAATCATTTGTGGACGAGATCTTCCGGGACCTGCATGGGCAGGGTGTGGTAGTGTACATTGACGACATCCTAGTGTACTCTTCTACACGAGCCGAGCATGTAGCCCTGGTGCGCCGAGTGTTGGGTAGGCTGTTGGAGCATGACTTGTATGTCAAGGCAGAGAAATGTCTGTTTTTCCAGGAGTCCATCTCCTTCTTGGGTCATCGGTTGTCCGCGTCAGGGGTGAAGATGGAGATTGACCGTGTGTCAGCCGTGCGTAACTGGCAAACCCCAACCACTGTTAAAGAGGTGCAGCAGTTTTTGGGGTTTGCCAATTACTACCGGAGGTTTATCCGGGGTTTTGGACAGGTAGCAGCTCCCATTACTTCCCTGCTGAAGGGGGGCCCGGTGCGTTTGCAGTGGTCGGCTGAAGCGGACAGGGCGTTTGGTAAACTGAAGGACCTGTTCACTTCGGATCCGGTGCTGGCGCACCCGGACCCCGCTTTAGCGTTCCAGGTAGAGGTGGACGCGTCAGAGGCCGGGATTGGGGCAGTACTGTCGCAACGCTCAGGCACGCCTCCTAAGCTCCGTCCCTGCGCTTTTTATTCTAAAAAGCTCAGCCCGGCGGAACGTAATTATGACGTAGGGGACAGGGAGCTGTTAGCCGTGGTTCAAGCTCTAAAGGTGTGGAGGCATTGGCTTGAGGGGGCTCAACACCCTTTTCTCATTCTGACTGATCACCGTAACCTGGAGTACATCCGGGCAGCTAGGAGATTGAACCCTCGTCAGGCTAGGTGGAACATGTTTCTGACCCGGTTCGTGTTTAAGATAACCTACATCCCAGGGTCCCAGAACGGTAAGGCAGACGTCCTGTCCAGGCGGTATGACACAGAGGAGAGGTCCATTGAGCCCACTCCCATACTGCCGGAGTCTTGTCTGGTGGCACCGGTGGTATGGGAGGTCGATACGGAAATTGAGCGGGCGTTACGCACCGACCCTACTCCCCCAGAGTGTCCAGTGGGTCGGACGTACGTGCCGCTCGAGGTCCGTGATTGTCTCATTTATTGGGCTCATACGTCACCCGCCTCTGGACATCCAGGTATTGGCCGGACAGTGCACTGCCTTAGTGTTAAGTACTGGTGGCCAACATTGGCTAGGGACGTGAGGATTTATGTCTCCTCCTGCTCGGTGTGCGCTCAGTGTAAGGCGCCTAGACACCTGCCCGTTCCACAACGGCCGTGGTCTCACCTCTCGGTGGATACCACTATTCTGGTCGTTGTGGATCGGTTCTCTAAGGCCTGTCGTCTCATCCCAATGCCGGGTCTCCCTACTGCCCTACACTGCTGAGGCTTTGTTTACCCACGTCTTCCGGCACTACGGGGTTCCCGAGGATATAGTGTCTGATCGGGGTCCCCAATTCACCTCTAGAGTCTGGAGGGCGTTCATGGAACGCTTGGGGGTCTCGGTTAGCCTTACCTCGGGGTTCCACCCTGAGAGTAATGGGCAGGTGGAGAGAGTGAACTAGGATGTGGGTAGGTTTCTGAGATCCTATTGCCAGGGCCGGCAGGAGGAGTGGTCGGGGTATATCCCCTGGGCAGAGATGGCTCAGAACTCTCTTCACCACTCCTCTACTAACCTGACCCCTTTCCAGTGTGTGTTAGGGTATCAGCCGGTTCTGGCACCATGGCATCAGAGCCAGATCGAGGCTCCTGCGGTGGATGAGTGGTTTCGGCGCTCGGAGGAGACGTGGAACGCTGCACACGTCCATCTGCAGCGGGCCATCCGTCGGCAGAAGGCGAGCGCCGATCTCCACCGCAGTGAGGGTCCAGTATACGCACCTGGAGATCGAGTCTAGCTCTCGACTCGAAACCTGCCCCTTCGCCTGCCCTGCCGGAAGCTGGGTCGGCGGTTTGTGGGGCCATTGAAAGTCCTGAGGAGGCTGGAGCCGCGCGTCAAGGGGGGGGTACTGTCACGAATTCCGCCGAGACTGCTCCTCCTCCTTGCTCGGGCAGGCTTCGGCGTTCGTCGTCCCCGGAGTACTAGCTACTACCGCTTGATGTCTCGATGTTTGTTTGGTCTTGTCTTGTTAGTGCACCTGTTTCGTGTTATGTATTGATTAGGTCACCTATAAGTTTCCTTTAGTTTTGTTTGCAGTTGTGTGTGATTGTCCGCCTGTCCGTTGATGTATGGTATTTGTTCTCGTGTTTATAGTGTATTTACGCACTGTATGCGTAATCGCTCGCCTCCAGTGTTTGAGGCCCGTTATTTTGTATTGTCTTGTTGACTAGTAAAGTCGTTTTGACTGAGCTTCTGTGTCCTGCGCCTGACTCCAACACCGCATCCACATCAGCTTGTGACAGGTAATGAATACCCTACTTCGGTTGTGCACCTGTTTTCTAACTCAATGTGTTTTACAGTGTTTACAGCAGTGGAGGCTCCTCTGATGAGGAAGGGGAGGGCCAATCTCCTCAGTGAATTTCATAAAAATAAAAATAGTGAAACATTAAAGATAAAACTATACTAAATATATTCACGTCACCAAATAATTGATTAAAACACACTGTTTTGCAATGAAGGTCTACAGTAGCTTCAACAGCACTCTGTTGGGTAGCACCATGGTGTAGCCGGAGGATAGCTAGTTTCCGTCCTCTGGGTACATTGACTTCAATACAAAACCTAGGAGGCTCATGGTTCTCACCCCCTTCCAAGGACTTACACAGTAATTATGAAAACTTCCAGAGGATTTCCTCCAACCTATCAGAGCTCTTTCAGCATGAACTGACATGTTGTCCAGCCAATCAAAGGATCAGAGAATGAATCTAGTACTGAAAGCATTCAATCTGGTGAGTAGTTGACTCAAAAAGAGAAAGACAATAGTTGAACAGTTTTGAACAAATGAATTTCTTCCAAAATGAAGAAGTAAGCAAGAGAGAGAGAGTGAGAGATAGCTAGCTATATTAAACAAAAAAAACAATTCTCCCACTTTCACTTACTTAGCCAGCAAATGCAGCTAGCTAGTTTAGCCTACTGAAACATCCGGCGCAAACAGAGAGGGATGCCATGTTAGCTAGCTGGCTATGGCTATCCAACACTGGAACTTTTCCAACTCAAGGTAAGCTTTTGGTTTTATAAATGTATTGCCACCTGGGCTCGCCGGTGTAACTGCTAAACTGCTTGCTGACAATACACTGTATGTACTGCATGATTGTAGCGGGTTTACTAACGCGTTAATACTAGTAGCAATATTGACTATGATGTTAGCTAATATGGTGACTACAATGTAGGCTGTGTGTAGCGGTTAGCGGTTATGATATGAAGGTTTGGCTTGGAAAGGTTTTTTCGCCTGGTCAGACAGCTGATGTGTTGTGCACTGAAGTCCACAAACGAAGGGAAAAAGTGAGGAGAGCGCGAAGATGCGAGAAGGAATCATGCTGTTTGTATGTGGCTGCTATAAAAGTAAACTGTGTTTATTGTGTATATTCATTATGCCGATTCTGTTGAAAAACGTTTCTTAAACAGAAGCAAATATGTCCAATAGAAACTCTCATTTGCAACTGTTGGACTAACGATTAAACCTTAGATCAGCAAGATACAAGCAAGTGTGCAAGGTGGTATTGAATGTGTCACGGTCTGTCACCTTGATTACTCACACTTTTTCTCTAGAGCTACCTTGATTACTCACCCTTTTTCTCTAGAGCTGTGCACTTACGTTGTAAACTTTCATTCATAAGCTAGGTTGTAGCAACCACATGATGGGTATAGGGAACATGAGTGTCATGTAGTAGCCTAAACCTATCCATGTTATATTGAGCTGGGTGAATGGAATATGAATGACAGTCATCCAATATGCTGTAATAGAAATAAGGCCATGCTCATGAAAAATAATTGTCCTCCCTGATCTTAAAACGACACCGACCGCCACTGGTTTACAGTAAAATTTCGATGGGTCTTTCATATCTGAATGGCCAGGGGTTGTTTCAAGACCAACCCTTGCATGTCCCACTATGCAAAATAATACAATGAGTATACCAAACATTAGGAGTTGAGGCGAGAGCTTGGCCTTGTTTTACCATTGAGCTGTTTACTGAGTGATTTGTATAGATTTATTTGAAGTAAAAAGACAGGACATCTTTTCATTGTCACACTACTGCCTTCAGGCATCCTGTTCCACTCTGAAAGGCCCTGCAGGTAGAGCCACACCCCACACTTTACCACAACATGTATCCATCAGTTCTGTTTGAACCCAGTATAAAAGGAATCACATAAGCCAGAGGTGCAATACAGCAGTTTTTGCTAAAAAAAAAAACAGGCTGCAAATCATAGAGGAACATGCAGCATTAGTTAACTTCAAAGTGCATGATACCGTACATTCTCTTTAAGTCAAGTGACATGAAAAAATGTATTGACAAACCATAATTAAAACATTCATAATGCAAAACAAGGTGAATACATGGCTCAATTAGCTTATTAGCAACAGTAATAAGCACAACCCCATTAAGGACAAAGTAACATGACTCCAAAATAACTCCAATAATAAAGAATATTGCATTTAATCTGGCACATTCGGTATTGTACTCCTTTTCTCTCAACAAACCTAAAACCAAAACAAACTGGAATGATAATTTGGTGTATTTAAAAATCCCAAAAGAAGATACATTATCAGAATAATGTAAATAAAAATAAATTTAAAAAACAATAGCCAAGAATCAAGGCAACAGTAAACATGTTGTCCCCCACGAATGATTCAGAAATAAAAACATTGACTGGGCGGAGCTTATAGGTCCTTATGTGAAACATGTTGCTCATGAGGGGCTGCCTTCAGAAAGTATTCAGACCCCTTGACTTTTTCCACTTTGTTAGGTTACAGCTTTATTCTAAAATTACAATAGTTTTTTCCCCTCAATCTACACACAATACCCCATAATGACAAAGCAAAAACAGTTTTTTTTTGTTTTTTTTTACATTTGTGCTAATATATTACAAATAAAGAATGTAAATATCACATTTACATAAGTATTCAGACCCTTTACTCAATACTTTGTCGAAGCACCTTTGGCAGCAATTACAGCCTCGACTCTTCTTGGGTATGACACTACAAGCTCGGCATACCTGTATTTGGGGAGTTTCTCCCATTCTTCTCTTCAGATCCTCTCAAGCTCTGTCAGGTAGGATGGGGATTGCTGCACAGCTATTTTCAGGTTTCTCCAGAGATGTTTGGTCGGGTTCAAGTCCGGGCTCTGGCTGGGCCACTCAAGGACATTCAGAGACTTGTCCTGAAGCCACTCCTGCGTTGTCTTGGCGGTGTGCTTAGGGTCGTTGTCCTGTTGGAAGGTGAACCTTCGCCCCAGTCCGAGGTCCTGAGCTCTCTGGAGCAGGTTTTCATCAAGGATCTCTCTGTACTTTGCTCTGTTCATCTTTGCCTTGATCCTGACTAGTCTCCAAGTCCCTGCCGCTGAAAAACATCCCCACAGCATGATGCTGCCACCACCATGCTTCACCGTAGGGATGGTGCCATGTTTCCTCCAGACGTGACGCTTGGCATTCAGGCCAAAGAGTTCAATCATGGTTTCATCAGCCCAGAGAATCTTGTTTCTCATGGTCTGAGTCTTTAGGTACCTTTTGGCAAACTCCAAGCGGGCTGTCATGTGCCTTTTACTGAGGAGTGGCTTCTGTCTGGCCACTCTACCATAAAGGCCTGATTGGTGGAGTGCTGCAGAGATGGTTGTCCTTTTGGAAGGTTCTCCCATCTCCACGGAGGAACTCTAGAGCTCTGTCAGAGTGACCATCGGGTTCTTGGTCACCTCCCTGACCAAGACCCTTCTCCACCGATTGCTTCGTTTGCCGGGCGGCCAGCTCTAGGAAGAGTCTTGGTGGTTCCAAACTTCTTCCTTTGAAGAATGATGGAGGCCACTATGTTCTTAGGGCCCTTCAATGCTGCATAAATGTTTTGATACCCTTCCCCAGATCTGTGCCTCAACACAATCCTGTCTTGGAGGTCTACGGACAATTCCTTCGACCTCATGGCTTGGTTTTTGCTCTGACATGCACTGTCAACTGTGGGACCTTATATAGACAGGTGTGTCCAAATCATGTCCAATCAATCGAATTTACCACAGGTGGACTCCGATCAAGTTGTAGAAACATCAAGGATGATCAATGGAAACAGGTTGCATCTGAGCTCAACTTCGAGTCTCATAGCAAAGGGTCTGAATACTTATGTAAATAAGGTATTTCTGTTTTCGCTTTGTCATTATGGGATATTGTGTGTAGATTGCTGAGGAAATTGTTTAATTTAATCAATTTTAGAATAAGGCCGTAACATAACAAAATGTGGAAAAAGTCAAGGGGTCTGAATACTTTCCGAAGGCACTGTATGTACAACATGTCATGACTGTAGCTCAAATGGGACAGGAGATATGCTTGTTCAAAGTTTTCAGTTGATTACTATAGCGCCCTTGGGCCAATCAGTGTAATTTTGTAAATGCTGGGTCTCTATAGCAAGACACATCATTCACCCAAGTTTCGTCAAAATCGCCCAATGGTGTCCGAGATATCACGTGACTAATAACGTACAAACGGACGGAGACAGATCCTTTGTCCCCCCTCAATTTCATCATGGGGGAACAAGGTTCAATCAAAGATAAAATTCTGCATCCATAAATTTGGACACCATTCGATCTACATTATTCAAATGTATTAAAAATAGATCTAGCTGCCATATAAATTATGGCCAAATGAAGGGTATTTAGAATACACAGCAACATTAGACATATGTTTTCAATACCTGACAAATACCATTCTTGTCATCCAAACTAAATAAAAACATGTTAAATCAGAGCCTTACGGTATACGAGTGTCATAAAGGGGATACCAGCTAGTCTGAGACGATAATGATATTTGACATCCGTAATTTGGGCCGATCATTATTATCTCTGCCTCTTTGACAACTGTTAAATCTCGTTATGCATACAGTACCACACAAAAACTCACAAAAAATAGTCAGTTTAAAAGAAAACTAACAAGTGCTCAATGCTTGTTATGACTGCACACACCCATGTGCAAAACAATACAAGCATTTAAAAAAGCAGCAGACTCTTCAAGTCAACCAATACTGCTAGTGCTCGGTAGGTAGCGACCTGGATTCAGGTCTGGTAGATAGCTGATCCCTTTTTCATTCTGTGCCTCTGGAAAACCCTTGAGACTGGGCCTACTCAGGGCCCACCTTACGCTGGGAAACGGTAGTGCAGCTCGTCATCTTGGAAGCCGTACTCCTGGGTGATGTGCTGGAGCACCCCACCCTGTTGCAGCCGGACCCCGTAGAGCAGTGCCGCTCCTCTGTCCTGTGACAGACCCACCTGCAACAGCCACTCCACCAGCTCACTGCCAAGAAAAGTGTCCACCACTGTCCTCTCCCCACACCTGTGGGTCAGAGGAAGGATTCACCAACGGGCCAGTTAGGCACTCCCCACAGCTGCCAGGTCGAAGAGGAATGAGAGAGAGAGAGGGAAGGAGAGGGAGCAGATACAGTGCCTTCAAAAATAATTCACACCCCTTCACATTTTGTTGTGTTAAAGTGGGATTAAAATTGATTTAATTGTCATTTTTTGTCAACAATCGACACAAAATACTCAAACGTCAAAGTGGAATTTGTAAAACAATTAATGCAAAATAAAACACTAATATATCTTCATTAGATAAGTATTAAACACCCTGAGTCAATACATGTTAGAATCACCTTTGACAGCGATTAAAGCTGTGAGTCTTTCAGGGTACGTCTCTAAGAGCTTTCCACACCTGGATTGTGCAACATTTGACCATTATTCTTTTCAAAATCCTTCAAGCTTTGTCAAATTGGTTGTTGATCATTGCTAGACAACCATTTGCAGGTCTTGCCATATATTTTCAAGCATATTTAAGTCAAAACTAACTGCCATATTCACTATCTTCTAGGTAAGTAACTCCAGTGTAGATTTGGCCTTGTGTTTTAGGTTATTGTCCTGCTGAAAAGTGAAGTCATCTCCCAGTGTCTGGTGGAAAGCAGACAACTAGTTTTTCTCTAGGATTTTGCCTGTGCTTAGTGCCATTCAGTTTCTTTTTTTATCCTGAAAAACTCCCCAGTCCTTAATGATTACAAGCATTTCCATAACATGATGCAACTACCACTATGCTTGAAAATATGGAGAGTGGTACTCAGTAATGTGTTGGATTGTATTTGTTCCAAACATAACACTTTGTTTTCAGGACAAAACGTGAATTGCTTTGCCACATTTGTTGCAGTATTACTTAAGTGCCCTGTTGCAAACAGGATGCATGTTTTGGAATATTTTTATTCTGTACAGGCTTCCTTCTTTTCACTCTGTCATTTAGGTTAGTATTGTGGAGTAACTAAAATGTTGTTGATCCATCCTCAGTTCTCCTATCAAAGCCATTAAACTCTAACTGTTTTTAAGTCACAATTGGCCTCATGGTAAAATTTCTGAGTGGTTTTCTTCCTCTCCGGCAACTGAGTTAGGAAGGACACCTGTATCTTTGTAGTTCTCCATGCTCAAAGGGATATTCAATGTCTGCTTTTTACATTTTTTACCCATTTACCAATTGGTGCCCTTCTTTGCGGGGCATTGGAAAACCTCCCTGGTCTTTGTGGTTGAACCTGTGTTTGAAATTCACTGCTCAACAGGGACCTTACAGATAATTGTATGTGTGGGGTACAGCGATGAGGTAGTAATTTAAAAATCATGTTAAACATTATTATTGCACACAGAGTGAGTCCATGCAATTTATTATGTGACTTGTTAAGCAAATGTTGACTCCTGAACTTATTTAGGCTTGCCATAACAAAGGGGTTGAATACTTATTGACTCAAGACATTTCATCTTTTCATTTTTAATTAATGTGAAGAAAAAAAAAACAAAAAAAAAAACATCCACTTTGACATTATGGGGTATTAGGTGTAGGCCAGTGACAAAAAAATCTCAATTTAATCAATTTTACATTCAGGCTGTAACACAACAAAATGTGGAAAAAGTAAAGGGGTGTGAATACTTTCTGAAGGCACCGTAGCCAGGATGGCACACCGAAACAAACGCAAGAGAGATGTGCTCAACACAATCCATGCACCAAAACTAAATATTTATATTAGGGATGATCAATGGGTATAATGCTGTTGTTACAAAAACTGTCAGACTGTCAAATCATACGCAAAGTTGTGAATAACTGCATAACATGGGAGGTTTCATATATACTGTGAGCCGTTTTAGGAAAGACACAGTGGGTGCACAGTAAAAGCAGTGTCTACTGAATCCCTGAGCAGAGCAGCCCTGTAAGGTGACTAATTGACCCCTCACCTGTTCATCTGGACAATGTCCCGGACACACTGCTCTTTGTGGCATCTGATGAATTGAGTGCAGGTCATCATGATGTCATCAGATACAACCAGTTGAGGCTGCTCCTCTGGCTTCATTCTATGCCACAGACAGGATATCCTGGGCACAGGTAAAAAAAAGTATTCTCAAGGCTTCTTATTCAATACACAGCTCACTACTCGATCGTATGAAATGCATGTCAGGGGGCTCTTACTTCTTTTTAAATGGCAGTATTATCAAATGTTTGTCCAGCCCAAAAATCCCGAATGAGATGAAGCTCTGAGAACAAAAAACACAGATATGTAAACACCACCACCATTGAGTAAATACAGTGGCTCCAAATCCCAATGTGTCTAGGGAGACCTACATGTACAGTACCTGTCCATAGTTGACCACAGCACAGAAGAACTGCAGCTCTAAGTAAAGTCTCCCAGGGACTCGACTAAAGAGCCACCACAGGCAACTGGACAGGTTCTAAAACAGGGGAGAGAGATTCAAACAGGGATCATCATACTCACCCAAAATTGAAGGACAGGACAGCGGTAAAACAACTCAACATACAGGCTCTGATGCACAAGGCCATTTCCATGTAAAAGGACCCATGAGCACCAACATGTGAAGTTCATAGGAGCACATCAAATTTGGTGTCAAATGAAAGCTAAGAGCACATTTTAGAGAAATTAAGGCTTATATATTTTCCAACCATTCATCCTAAAATTAGGAATAAGCGAAGGCTTTGATTTCAGGTCAAATCTTAAAAAGGTATTAGAAAAACATCAAAACACATTAAATGCTGAAGTTAACAAAATGTACACATTGGTTTCCTTACCCTGTAAGTAGTCTATGGACAAGGTATGAAAGCAATCCATGCTTTGGTTTAGCTGCCCTGGCACCGTTTCCATTTGGCATAAATCCCATTCAAGTCATGGGACCGATATTAGCATTTTTCCCGCATCATGTTCAAATCATCCGAAAGTATCTAAAAACAAAGTCACTTATAGATGTTTTGAATCGTGATGTGCAAAAAATGCTAATATCGGTTCCATGACTTCAACGGGATTTGTGCCACAAATGCTAAAACGTTAGCATGTGGAAACCAGGGAAACTAAACTAAAGCATGGATTGCTGTCATACCTTGTCCATAGACTGCTTAGTGCTTACAGGGTAAGGAAACCAATATGTAACTTGGGAATTTGGGTGAACTATCCCTTTAAGACCCTTCCAAACTAAAATCAACATTTACATTTAATTTTGCAGAAATTATTTGCCTTCTGAAAGTTTAAGAAATATTGCCTAGTGTCTTCTCATTCTGTTACAAAAAACCCACATATCTTTAAGATATGTTCAAATTTCTCTCCCTCATGAGGGAGGATAATGAAAGTTCACAGAAGTAACAAGTAAAGGTAGACCTACCAATTATAGTGTTTTTACTGATAACAATTTTGTTAATGATTTATTAAGGGATTTAAACGTGTCATTCTGTTATGAAATCCATAACAGAATGACCGAAAAATCAGTAACAGAATGACTAAATTAGCTGAAATGGGAAATGATATTAGTCACAAACCACAGTTGGGTCACCTGTTATTGCCCTCCCTTCCACTGGCATACTGTTCAGCTCATAATTGTGAAAACAGTCTGGACAACCCTTCCCTCTCTCTCACCCAGTCTTTCTCCCTGTCTACCTTTCTCTTCTCTCCACTTAATAACCCTATCAGTCCCGAGACCCCAGAATATTTTCATAGATAGCTTTTAATAGTGGTCCTCTGTAGCTCAGCTGGTAGAGCACGGCGCTTGTAACGCCAAGGTAGTGGGTTCGATCCCCGGGACCACCCATACACAAAAAATGTATGCACGCATGACTGTAAGTCACTTTGGATAAAAGCGTCTGCTAAATGGCATATTATTATTATTAATAATTTGTAGCTGAAACCATTCGGACTTTACAGACGTTTTTGTAAAAATCACACAGACTAATGGATGCAGAAGAAATAGATGAATCCAATTGTACAACCCAGAAGTCTGTAGCTCAAACACACAATGTTTAAAAGGGGTTAGAAGTCCAAATCGTGTCGGCATCGCGGTAGGAATCAATGGGTTAATGTCACCTCTCCCGGCTCTTACTGACATCTACCCATGAGCCCCCTCGCTTTCCATTGAATGTAACCAGCGTCCTCACCCACTGACCACAGACAGACACCGGATATCCATGGACGTTGAAAAGCAGTTGACATTTTGTCAGTCCAAATCTGAACCAATCATAGACAAGATTGGACAGCACATTACAGTACAGTAAAGAAACATAGAGTAGAGGTCAGTAAAGTACAGTAGGGTTTCCCAACAGTCTCAGCGTCATTCTGTAATAGTGAGTCACTCACAGCTAGTAGGCTGACGGTCAGTAGCAGGCATAGGAGCACATGGCGGGCCACTTGTCTGTCTGCCACCTGCCTCTGCTGCTCCTGGGCCAGTAGACAGCCTGGGGACTCACAGCCAGTCCCACACTGACCTGAGGGAGACCACAGAGCAGACCCACTGTTACTGACCCACAAGGTAATGACTGATACTGTAGGTTAGTTGACTGATTCATTTGAAGTGTGAAATTTGTTTAACAACATTTTACATAGTTTGTATACAAGAAGAAGAGATATGACACAATGAATTCAAATGAAGACTTGAGGGATGTAACGTAGGTTTCTTAAATCACTACCTGGCTGGATGATAAGTGTGTCATTCATGTTTGTGCTGACAATCATATCAGGCATGGGCTGGGACAGAGCACAGTCACACATATGGCACTCTGACAACACACACAGACATAAAAAAAAAAAATCAGCATCATACACTTGATTAACTAGTAATATATACGTCATAAATCCAGCTAACATATACCTCTGTTGATGCTTCCGGTTCCGGCTGGCTCAAACATGTCTGGGATAGTTTGGGTATCTGGGCCACTCTGGGGCCTCAGATCCTCAGTAGTGCCTAGCATAGAGTCTCTCTCCAGGACATGGTACTTTGAGTCCCACGTGCCTCGACGGAGGCCCACCAAAGAGCACCCGCCCAGCACTATGCTGAAGGCAAGCACAACTGAGGTGCAGATGACCTGCAGAAGACACAAAGACAGAAGGTCAGGATGATGAAGTCATGTTCTATGAGAGGTGCTGTCTTCTTTCCCCAGTCTGTCTCACCTGGGGTCTTCCATAGAAGAAAGCTGAATCGATGGTGTCAGGCATCCTCACCCCAGTCATGAGGAGCACTGCTGCCACAAGGGCTGGGACTCTGTTGACATCAGATACAAACTGTGTTTGAGCAGCAGATTAAACAAAAAGGTCCCTTTGTTTCCAATAATTCAATTATTCAGTGGAAAACTCATGACTCACCCCCAGCCTGCAATCACCAGGAAGCCTGGCGCAACCTTTAGCTCACCACCTCTCTTCATCAACACAAGGGAAAGTGCTATCAGACCTAAAACAACACAACATGCACTCTATGGTGAGAGTATCATTGCTAGACTTAAAATCACAGTATGTTAACATACTTTATACATACAACACAAATGCATACTATAAGAGAAAATGGTGGTAATATAATGTTGATGGTCGTGTGTGTGACAGACATACCTGGCCATACATAAGTACTGTACAGTGAGCCGTACAACAGTGTGAATGTCAACACGTGTCCAATGAAGCTGTCTTGTCTCACAACAAAGTTCCACAAGATCATGCCAACACAAGCTAGAATCTAGATGCACGGAGAGGCAAAACGTCAATAGACAGCAGCAAGCAATCACAAGACGACATTTAGACAGTGATATTGCTATTACGGCTTTGTACTATGGACAATATGATATGTACAACATTATTCAGCTTACACAGGCTGACTGGCTCTCGTTCAGGCAAAGGAGGAGTAAGAAATGTGCACTCAGGCTATCCGGAAGACTAAAGCTAGTTACTTTAAGGAGCAGTTCTCTCTCTGTGGGTCTAACCCCAAGAAGTTCTGGAAAACGGTGAAAGACCTGGAGAATAAACCCTCCTCACAGCTGCCCATGTCCCTTAATGTTGATGATGTGGTTGTTACTGACAAAGAGCACATGGCTGAGCTCTTTAATCACCATTTCATTAAGTCAGGATTCCTATTTGACTCAGCCATGCCTCCTTGCCCGTCCAACATTTCCTCATCTCCCAGTCCTTCTAATGTGACTAGTCCTGATGCTCCTCCCTCTTTTTCCCATGCCCCGCTACAAAGTTTCTCCCTGCAGCCGGTCACTGAGTCTGAGGTGCTAAAGGAACTCCATAAACTTGACACCAAAAAACCATCTGGTTCAGATGGTTTAGACCCTTTCTTCTTTAAGGTTGCAGTCCCTATGATCGCCAAGCCTGTCTCTGACCTTTTTTAACCTGTCTCTCCTCTCTGGGGAGGTTCCCATTGCTTGGAAAGCAGCCACGGTGCGTCATTTATTTAAAGGGGGTGATCAAGCTGATCCTAACTGTTATAGGCCAATTTCTATTTTGCCCTATTTATCAAAAGTGTTGGAAAAACTTGTCAATATTCAGCTGACTGGCTTTATTGATGTCTATAGTATTCTCTCTGGTAGGCAATCTGGTTTCTGCTCAGGTTATGGATGTGTCACTGCAACCATAAAGGTCCTAAATGATGTCACCATTGCCCTTGATTCTAAGCAATGTTGTGCTGCTATTTTTTATTGACTTGCCCAAAGCTTTTGATACGGTAGACCATTCCATCCTTGTTGGCCGGCTAAGGAGTATTGGTGTCTCTGAGGGGTCTTTGACCTGGTTTGCTAACTACCCCTCTCAAAGAGTGCAGTGTGTAAAGTCAGAACATCTGCTATCTCAGCCACTGCCCATCACCAAGGGAGTACCCCAAGGCTCGATCCTAGGCCCCACACTCTTCTCAATTTACATCAACAATATAGCTCAGGCAGTAGGAAGCTCTCTCATCCATTTATATGCAGATGATAGTATTATACTCAGCTAGCCCCTCCCCAGATTTTGTGTTAAATGCTCTACAACAAAGCTTTCTTAGTGTCCAACAAGCTTTCTCTGCCCTTAACCTTGTTCTGAACACCTCCAAAACAAAGGTCATGTGGTTTGGTAAGAAGAATGCCCCTCTCCCCAACGGTGTGATTACTACCTCTGAGGGTTTAGCGCTTGGGAGTATGGCTAGACGGTTCACTGTCCTTCTCTCAGCACATATCAAAGCTGCAGGCTAAGGTTAAATCTAGACTTGGTTTCCTCTATCGTAATCGCTCCTCTTTCACCCCACCTGCCAAACTAACCCTGATTCAGATGACCATCCTACCCATGCTAGATTAGATTACGAAGACGTCATTTATAGATTGGCAGGTAAGGGTGCTCTCGAGCGGCTAGATGTTCTTTACCATCCGGCCATCAGATTTGCTACAAATGCTGCTTATAGGACACATGACTGCACTCTATACTCCTCTGTAAACTGGTCATCTCTGTATACCCGTTGCAAGACACACTGGTTGATGCTTATTTACAAAACCCTCTTAGGCCTCACTCCCCCCTATCTGAGATACCTACTGCAGCCCTCATCCTCCACATACAACACCCGTTCTGCCAGTCACATTCTGTTAAAGGTCCCCAAAGCACACACATCCCTGGGTCGCTCCTCTTTCCAGTTCGCTGCAGCTAGCGACTGGAACGAGCTGCAAAAAACACTAAAACTGGACAGTTTTACAGTTGAAGTCGGAAGTTTCCATTCACTTAGGTTGGAGTCATTAAAACTCGTTTTTCAACCACTCCACAAATGTCTTGTTAACAAAGTATAGTTTTGGCAAGTCGGATAGGACATCTACTTTGTGCATGACACAAGTAATTTTTCAAACAATTGTTTACAGACAGATTATTTCACTTATAATTCACTGTATCACAATTCCAGTGGGTCAGAAGTTTACATACATTAAGTTCACTGTGCCTTTAAACAGCTTGGAAAATTCCAGAAAATGATGTCATGGCTTTTGAAGCTTCTGATAGGCTAATTGACATCATTTGAGTCAATTGGAGGTGTACCTGTGGATGTATTTCAAGGCCTACCTTCAAACTCAGTGCCTCTTTGCTTGACATCATAGGAAAATCAAAAGACATCAGCCAAGACCTCAGACATTTTTTTGTAGACCTCCACAAGTCTGGTTCATCCTTGGGAGCAATTTCCAAACGCCTGAAGGTACCACGTTCATCTGTACAAACAATAGTACGCAAGTATAAACACCATGGGACCACGTAGCCATCATACCGCTCAGGAAGGAGACGAGTTCTGTCTTCTAGAGATTAACGTACTTTGGTGCGAAAAGTGCAAATCAATCCCAGAACAACAGCAAAGGACCTTGTGAAGATGCTGGAGGAAACAGGTACAAAATTATATATATCCACAGTCAAACGAGTCCTATATCGACATAACCTGAAAAGCCGCTCAGCAAGGAAGAAGCCACAGCTCCAAAACCGCCATAAAAAAGCCAGAATACGGTTTGCAACTGCACATGGTGACAAAGATCGTACGTTTTGGAGAAATGAACTCTGGTCTGATGAAACAAAAATAGAACTGTTTGGCCATAATGACCATCGCTATGTTTGGAGGAAAAAGGGGGGCCTTGCAAAGAAGAACACCATCCCAACCGTGAAGCACGAGGGTGGCAGCATCATGCTGTGGGGGTGCTTTGTTGCAGGAGGGACTGGTGCACTTCACCAAATAGATGGCATCATGAGGAAGGAAAATGATGTGAATATATTGAATCTCAAGACATCAGTCAGGAAGTTAAAGCTTGGTCGCAAATGGGTCTTCCAAATGGACAATAACCCCAAGCATACTTCCAAAGTTGTGTCAAAATGACTTAAGGACAACAAAGTCAAGGTATTGAAGTGGCCATCACAAAGCCCTGACCTCAATCCTATAGAAAATGTGTGGGCAGAACTGAAAAAGCATGTGCGAGCAAGGAGGCCTACAAACCTGACTCAGTTACACCAGCTCTGTCAGGAGGAATGGGCCAAAATTCACCCAACTTATTGTGGGAAGCTTGTGGAAGGCTACCCGAAACGTTTGACCCAAGTTAAACAATTTAAAGGCAATGCTACCAAATACTAATTGAGTGTATGTAAACTTCTGACCCACTGGGAATGTGATGAAAGAAATAAAAGCTGAAATAAATCATTCTCTCTACTATTATTCTGACATTTCACATTCTTAAAATAAAGTGGTGATCCTAACTGACCTAAAACAGGGAATTTTTCCTAGGATTAAATGTCAGGAATTGTGAAAAACTGAGTTTAAATGTATTTGGCTAAGGTGTATGTAAACTTCCGACTTCAACTGTATCTCCATCTCTTCATTCAAAGACTCAATCATGGACACTCTTACTGACAGTTGTGGCTGATTCGCGTGATGTATTGTTGTCTCTACCTTCTTGCCCTTTGTGCTGTTGTCTGTGCCCAATAATGTCTGTACCATGTCTTGTGCTGCTACCATGTTGTGCTGCAGCCATGTTGTGTTGCTACCATGTTGTTTTCATGTTGGGTTGCTGCCATGCTATGTTGTTGTCTTAGGTCTCTCTTTATGTAGTGTTGTGGTGTCTCTCTTGTTGTGATGTGTGTTTGGTCCTATATTTATATTTTTAAATCCCAGCCCCCGTCCCCGCAGGAAGCCTTTTGCCTTTTGGTAGGCCGTCATTGTAAATAAGAATTTGTTCTTAACTGACTTGCCTAGTTAAATAAAGGTTAAATAAAATACAAAAATGATATGGACATACTGATACAATATGCATATGGGATGGATGTTTTGTGAAAACTAACAGATTTTCAAAAGGAAAGCCTTGCCTGTGCCAAGACCAGATTGACCGTGAACATGTGAGGTAGTCTCTTAAATTTCTTACTCAGGAACATGACAGTTACTGTCCAAGCCTGTAACGAAAAAGATAAGAGATCTCAACATTAAATATGCTTGTCTACACATACCATACAGAAAATGATAACATACTTCTTAATGTAAACTGCAATGGCATTTTCATAATCCCAGATCATAATAAACACCATATGCATTCTAGAGCAGTAACATTCAGTGAAACTACATCACAGCATATAAGAATGGTCATATGACCAGTCTAGAATGTCAAAAAATGGGCAGCCGAATGAGAACAAGAACAGAAAATAAACAGTCCTACATGAAAAGCTGCTCTCTGTGTTGCATCATGGAGGACAGCTGTTTTACTAGCATTGTGTTGCCTTGAAGAAGTTAAACTGAGGCAACATTATACGAGGAAGTAAGCCTCAAGTATCATATTATTGGCACCAGACAGAGACATCCTGCTGATGACTTTGAACTGCCTGGTTGCAAGTCATATTCCTATCCCTGCTGTTCATAGACTCCCTGCTCTAAGCTTTTCAATATCATTGTTTCCATTTTCAAATACTGAATCAATGTAGCCTAGTCTAGATAGTATCATCTAACAATATCACCTGATACCCCCCTCAACTACTGTCCCCCAATTGCCCCAAATACCACAATATGAATGGGATAATGTGAAAAGAAGCTTTAGTACAATCAACACCTGCTTGTGGGTTATAATTTCCTGAAATCCGACCACCCTGTCTGAAATGAAATAAATAACCAGCACAAAGCCAGTTGAAAAGTAAAGATTACAGTTAATGATAGTTCTTCTTTCATAATGATGGGAGGCAGGGAAAAACTCACCAGTGCAACTAAGCTGATGATGCTGACATTAAAGCTGACATTCTGCAGCGAATCCATCAATGGCTTAGGGTCCATCCATGGTATTGTCAGCAACCATGCAGAAACATACATAATGGGAGCTGAGAGAAATGTGCTTATTACCATCCCTGAGGTAACCTGTTTGAAAACAATACACAAGAAAATGTGACACTGTCAATGTCTTCATATGACATACATTTCTATCCATATAGGACAGGGTAGGTGACTTACAACTTGTAGCTCCATGTTATAATGAGCAGCATAGATGGCCACACTGGGGGCAGTAGGGAAGACTCCATAGAGGAAGGCATAGTTGGAGAGGCTGGAGTGTTCGAGACTAGAGCTGGTGTTGTCAGCGTCCAGCAGCTCCACCATCTCTCGACAGATCAACGGCATCACCAACCTCCAGAAGAAACACATGTTATTAAGTTTCATTGTAATGTTACGATTACGAAATGTTACAAGAGAAATGCCTGATTCATTCACAAGGAATCATCAGGTAAGAAGGAAGATACTTTATTTTCAATGGTCTGGCTTGTAGCCTGGTCCCAGATCTGTTTGTGCTTTTGCCTACTCCATTGTCATGGACTCCATTGTTTGTAAACAATGTGATTGTAAAAAAGCACCGTATAGCTTCATAACATGGTTAAAACAAAAACATGTATATCAAGGATGGTCAGTCTGTTCATCCATAGCTCTGTTACATTTCTCCAGCCCCATCCCTCAGCTGTTTACCAAAACAGTGGTGGGGTATCCGCTTTGTTATTGTTTGAACTGCAGATTGCCCCTTTAAGATTGTATGAGAATAAATAAATGTTTGAAGGTCAAAATACTGAAATGTGGATTGGTGCCAGTATTCAAGAATGTTTGTATTATACAAAACAATGGTAGTCATGTACCAAGGTTGCTTTGTGTGTAACAGACCTATACAGATCTACAGTTAGTTCTGAGTCAATAACCAGCGAGGAATAACATTACACAGAACACCTAACACTTAATTACAAGAAGATGTGCTGTCCTGACACTGTATGATTACAATGCTTTTTTAGGTACAGTATGAATGTGTATGAACTGTAGGCCTATTATGAATATTCATTATGGTAGCCTACATGTGTAATAATCTAGGCTAATATTCTTAAACTCAACCAATCCATCCTAAATCCCCTGAAACACTCACAGTTTTGCTGTAATGAGCAGGATAAGGGCTACAACCGTGGACCTGGTGAGCTTCCCCAACTGGCCCACCATGGAGAGGCCCAAGTAGAACAGAGCGGCTCCTCCAAAAGAGTTGGCCAGGCCGTCCACAAACTGCTCCATGAAAGCAGGGATCTTCTGATCCAGGATGAAGTGGAAGATAATGCCAATAACAACCATTAAGACTATGGGGTTCTTCAGAACCTGCAGGATGACCACACCCACTATCTTGAGTTTGCTCTGCTGCCGGTCTCTCTGGTCCCTCCACTTCTGGATCTCACAGAAGGCAAAGCCAATGGGGTTGAGAAGCATGAGGGACACTGGTGCCACCAGGTAAATGTACTGTAGGTACTCTGGGTGTGTGTTCTTGTACAAGGCCTCAACTGTGAAGAAAGGTACAGTTCAGGAAGTTCCCTTTTAGGGAGGAGAGCAGAGTGAAATCAGACTTTTTGTCACAAATCAACAAGATTTTTAAGTATGACATCAAGACATCTATTTCCTTTGTTCTGAGGTTCTGCCAGGAGGCTAACAATTTTAAAGGACTGAAACTGAAAGGATGGAAAGATTAATACAACACTCACCAATCGGGTATCCCAAAGCAAAGTCATTGCTTTGAGTAGCAAAGATGGAGAATAGGCCAGCTTTGCTGAAGCGAGTGTCAGGATTGGCAACCATTAGTGTAATCACACACACAATGAAAAACACAGACACCTTGGCGATGAGAATACTCCACAAAAATGGCCAGATGACATTCCCAAAGTCCAACAGTACCATGTTCTTAAAGAGCAATGCTGGGAGGGCAAACTTAGAAACAAAGTTCCCCAATCCTTTGGCCTGTGTGGATGTGATGATGTTTGCTCGCCCAGCAATGTAGCCACACAAGATGATCCCAAAACACTCCAGGAGTGCTGGAAAGAGCTTGTCAATAGACATGGTGGGAGGGGTGTCAGAGGGATCCAAGTACCCATATGAAAGGTTGAGGTTGTTACTGATGGCAGGGACCTCCATTGTGGCGCTGGTGGTTTAAATCCTCAGATATCAGCTCTCATGCCTGGCCACGCTGATGGGGTTGCTGGTGTCACTACCAGTTACTGAAAATTTTAAATACTTGGAGAACAGTCAAACTAACATTTCAATTTGGAGTCCCTAAAACTGCATCGTTGGGAAAGGGCTCGTAACTAAGTAAGCACTGTTGTATTCGGTACATGTGACAAACAACATTTAATTTTATTTTGATTTGAACCATCTATACATGGTAGTTACATAGGTATACCTAGCTTGTCAGCCTAATGAATTTCCCTACAGACTCACGAAGTTGCGTCCCGAAGCTAAGGTATAGCCACAATTTACAGCGGTTGCTAGATGTAACGTTAAGCACAAACAGTCTACAGTAGCTCCTTTGTAGCTATGTATCCTTCTCACAATGTAAAATGTTAGATACAAGGTATCACTCACAAAAAATGTAGATCAACTGTTCTATAATACACGTTAGTGAAAATATGGATAAACATGCATGCACCCAGGAATCTGAGCTAATTTAGGTATGATAAAAAATGGGTAGCATTGCTATTAGCTTGATGAAAAATAGAGCGCCATTCTGTAAAAAAGACTTACGTAGCTAGCTACTCGCAGCTACAGATAATCATGGCATGGAGTTCGAGGATTAGCATGCTAAATTACCTAGCTAGCTAGCCAATTCACCTTGCTCTAGCCAGTTAGTACGTGCGCTATTTATAAATAGGTGACATCATGATACGCTAGTTTGCCAAATGCCAATGTACCGGGTGCTATTTGGACTAGTCTACAAGTAACTGTAAAAAAAGACAAGACAACTTACCGGTACCTCTCTCTATGTCATAACACACCGCAATTTCCTTCTTGTTTTGACAGCAAACTACTTCACCAATCACATTAAACGACATGGGGGCGGGGGAGAAACAATTTTGCCTAATGTTGCACATGGGCCTCTCGCGTGGTCAAAATGCAGTCTTTTGAAGTATTCAGACCTCCATGTTTCACATGCAGACAGTACTTGTTGAGATACTATTGCATTTTTGATAGCATTGATTGTTCTTTCACTTGTCCATAAGGATCTTCTTTTATCCAAAATATGCACAAAATCCGACTTAGTAAATAGATATAGAAAATTGACAACCAGAGTCAAGTATAAGCTTTATTTAAATACTGTATTAAAGATTAATGAAAACATATAACAAAATACATTGAGGAACTACAAAAAATACCTTGATTACAAAAAACTTGATTAGAATGGTCACACAGATCAACTGCTCTATAATACACATTAATGAAAATATGGATAAACATGCATGCACCCAGCAATCTGAGCTAATTGCAAACCACCCAATAATAATTCATGTTTATACTGATTAACATGACGGTCAAAAACAGTCTTCATACAGCAATATTTAACTTTTAGAGTCACTAGGGCCCAGATCTTTTCAGGGTCAGGTCAATAAAAACGTCTGGCACTATACATAACACACCGCAGACCTCTAGGGCGTCATGCTGAGCTCAATGAGACGGCCTGCGAACACCCCCAGTGTGCCAATGATACACACCGCCATGAACACACACAGCAGAATGTGATCCAGCACCATGGCTACAAACTTCCACTCTTCAGCAGCCTGGGGAAAGAGGAGAGCAGTTAGAAACACGTAAACAGATATCTTTAAGGATAAATCTGTGGGAAGGATGGAAATTAATTCCAGAGTCTTACACTGTTGGACTCCTCATCAGATTTCATGGTCTCAGCGATGTACTTCACCCCCTCAATAGCACTGCGTACGTCTGGGTTCTTGGTGATGGGGGACTGGTAAGTGACTGCAGTAGGGGTGGGTTTGCCTGAGATGTCTGAGATGTCAAAGTCAGCACCATAGATTATTTTATCCTGTTTCTCCTTTGCAGGACGTTTCATTGTTGAGAAAAACATGAGGTTGGGAATGGTGTCAATGAAAATCTGGGATGAAAAAATAAGAGAGGACGTTATACTAAGACTGGTAAAATACATACAATGTGCCAAAAGGCAAATTAATGTTCATATTAATTCAGATACTTATCTGGCTCCTCAATCTAACAATATCATGGTCAAAGCAGAAAATACAGTCAACAATAAACAGTTATACAGTAAACAACTTCAATCATCTATATTCTGTCACTAGATGGCAGTACTGGGGAGGGCACATTTTTGGGGGGTACTTTTATGTAGACTTGATACCACAGTGTATCTGCCATGTTGTCTCATGAACAATTTGTGAATTCTGTATACTTAAAAATACATCCATTTCTAAACTCTCACACACTCATAACATTCACAAATCAGAATGCACAAGTCATCCTGTGGCTGTGTCATGTCATTTACAATGCAAATGAACCCAAATGTTATTGTTAGCAAAGCACCATGCTATTCAAACTTAAGACACTCTAAGACCGTTCATATGATTTTTAGATTTCAAAAACCCATTGGTAGAAATGTGCCAGCTGTGCCCACCTTGCGAACCCAGGGAGACATGGTGTGAGTGCTGGGGGAACGGTGGTGGGTGTTGATGACGATGACAGTGATGATAATGGAGGCTATGACGAAGACCATGGTGAAGAGCATGTACTTCCCGATGAGTGGTACAGCACTGGAGGTGGAGGGGATGAGCTCAACAATGACCAGCAGGAACACAGTCAGAGACAGCAGGACAGAGATACTCAGAGTCATCTTCTCACCTGAGGACACACATGTTCACAACACTCAGGTCCACAAAAGCAGACGCACACAGAAGCATTCATCTATGAAGAAAGGCACAATTGGAGCTTGCGATGAATGCAAACTATGTTCCATTATGACATAAGGTTATAATTTTCACAATTATAATTGTCACATACTAAATCAGTCATTCATACAGCACACAGACAACTGTGAGAGCAGTTAATAACTAGGTAAGAATGGGTAAAGCAAATACTACAGTCACACCATTGCTCCAGTGCAACTCAACCATGACACCCTTTACAATTGAATTGAAAAAAAAAATCAATAAATAGTCATCCCCCCTCTGGTTGGTCCCCTTCTCTCAGATTAATTACAAGAGGGTGTGAAGTGAGTGAAGTGATCATTATGATAATTGATCTTCTGCATCGCTGCACACTGCAGCTTCAGAGAGAGACTGATAGCAAGAGACTGACTCACAGAGACACAGGACAGTCATCATGGGGGTTGAGGTTAGAGGTTTGACATATTGTTCCTCTGGCAGTCAGTGCCATCACACCCTTTAGGGCACTAACTCATTCTGACCACAGGGAGGAGTAGCCTCTGTTACGACTCTTATAGGCTTGGTCCAATTGAGCTCCTCCGACCTCTCTCAGCCCTCCATTAGATGGGCAGGAATTCTGCTTATAAAAAATAACTGTGAGTTGGAGCCTGAACAATATTGCCTTACCATAGCTAAAAGCAGGAGTAAAGAAATGAGTCTTTTAATTTGTCCCATCCCATGTAGCCTTCCTTACACATAGGCTTATACACAAACAACCTCACGTAAGCAAACAGACACACAGGCACACAGACAATAGAATTCCGAGTATGTGTTATTTTTAGTTGAACAACTTCACACCCAGAAGCCAGTGGCGTATGCGGTTTCGCAGGGGCCCTCCGCAAGGTCTGAGCAAGCCCCAACCCCCCAATTTTATAGCTAATCTCATGCTATTCTACACATTTTTAAATGAGGCTAAGATAATTTAAAGCTAATTTCCTGCTATTCTTCACGTCCCCCCTCTAGGGCTGCCGGGATGTGTGCCCAAAACGTATTCACAGAGATTCTACAGTAGAATGTGAGCTATGTGTTGTTTTTGCTGTTCAGTCGAATCAGTTAACTCAGAGGACTTCCATTTTGCATCACAGCCCCTCCACAGCATCATACCGTAGCAGCAGCCCTTTCTGAGTTAGGCAGCCAGTGATGTATTATACATTAAAGGTAGGCCTGCTCACAGACATGGCAGTACACAGGGTCTCTGGGTAATGAGGCAGGCCTCCACACTGGGAACAGGGCCAGAGGCTAGCCGAGACACATCACTGTTACAGCTAATGTAGCTACTAGGAACTTCTGACGCCCAGAGACAGTTAGGAGGACAAGCGTGTAGTTGTACCAGCTGATGCAGGTACTTCACAACCACTACATAAACGATGAATGTCGCAGCTATGATGACAAAATGATTGAAGAGATGCAATACCAACCAGAGTCAGTGGGCAGATAGAAGACGAGGCCAGTGAGGAAGGAGAAGAGCATGCAGGGGATGATGACGTTGACGATGAAGTAGAGGGGCAGCCGCAGCATCAGGAAGTGGTAGGTGATGTCCAGGTAGGGCGTGTCAGGGCAGCAGGCGTAGTACACCCAGTGTTTCCAGCTGCGGTAGTCCTTCATCACCCACTCGCCACTCTCCATGAAGTTACTTAGATCAGGACGGTCGCTGTCCTGGTGGAGACAGGTAATACAAATGTAATATGGAAGCAACTGATCAGAAAGGGCTCAACCTTACTGGCAAGTTTTAGGACGGGGTGTTTTGTAATGCTTTTAGAATCATTTGTTAAATCAGCACTTGGCTGTATGTTCATAGCCAACTGTATCACAGGGGATCAATTAGAGAAATAGGACAAAATAGTGATGATGATTATTACGGGATTGACGACGACCAAGTTGCCATCATAGGTCCAGGTACCCAGCTTCATGCTGCAGTTTTGCAGGTCGAAGGGGAAGTGCAACACGATGATCTCACAGTAGCTCTTGAAGATGGCAGGGGGGTTCCATGTGATCATGCCAGTGTGCTCCAGCAGCACTTTGGTCTCGTGAACAATGGCAAAGTCACCATCAGCACTGCGGGCACACACATACACGGGCATCAGCACAGGAGATAATGTTAACACAGAGGGACATCACTTCCTGGGGCTTGGCATGGCCCTGCCATCACAGCATCCACACAGGCCAACCAACCAGAGCGGAGACTGGTACAGGTTGCTGTGGCATAGGAGCTGGTTGGTTGGCCTGTGTGGATGCTGTGATGGCAGGGCCAAACAGCAGTGTGTCAGACGCAGCATATGGTGTGAGGGGAACCTGTGATATAGAAGCCAGATTTAGCCTGAAGCTATGTGAGCTCTCACCCACTCCGCACAGGGGAAAAGGGAAAACATTGTCACGCTCTGGCTCCGGGACTCTGTATAGTGAGCCAGGGTGTGTTCATTATTTGGGTGTATTTCTATGTTTGTATTTCTGTTGGGTGCATTTCTATGTTTGGTCAATGACTCCCAATCGGAGGTAACGAGTGTCAGCTGTCGGCTCGTTATCTCTGATTGGGAGCCATATTTAATCTGTATGTTTTCCTGTGGGTGTTGTGGGTTTTTGTTCGTGTTTGGTTGTGTATTGACCGTCGACTGTCACGTCGTTGTTTTGTTGTTTTGATCGGGTGATCATTCAAATAAATAATATGTTCACATTCAACGCTGCGCCTTGGTCCTCCTCCTCTATGTATGACGATCGTGACAGAAAAACCCACCAAGATGGGACCAAGCAGCGTGTCCAGGAGCCGTCGCCAGGGAGATCCCTCACAGATCTCCTTCGCCTCCTGGACTGGGTCAAGCCGAGTGAGGAGGAGAAGGGCTTGACGCTATGGCAGAAGGGCGAGAGGCTGGCGAGGTCTATGGAGACCTGGTCCACGGGTAGGAGAGACGCCCCGAAATTTTTTAGGGGGGGCTCGAGACGTCGGACCAGCAGGAGGCCGCGATAGAGCGGCCCAGTGGGTTGCTGGAGAAGGCCGCCGGGTTACGGGGGCCACTGGTCAAAGAGGGGATGGAGGAAGTGGAGGCACGGCGAGAGGTACTGGCGTGTGTTGCCAGTCCGGTCCGGCCCGTTCCAGATCCCAGTGTGGGGCCAGTGGTGTGTGTCCCCAGTACAGTCCGGCCCATCCAAGCTTCCCGCACCAAGCCAGTGGTGTGCGTCGTCAGTCCAGTCCGGCCCGTTCCTGCTCCCCGCATCAAGTCTGTGGTGCGTCTCGTCAGCCCGGCTCTGCCCGTTCCTGCTCTCCGCACCAGGTCTGTGGTGCGCGTCGCCAGCCCGGCTCGTCCCGTTCCTGCTCCCCGCACCAAGTCAGGGGTGCGCTTCGACAGCCCGGCTCGGTCCGCTCCTGCTCCCCACACCAAGCCAGTGGGGTGCGGCGTCAGTCCGGCACGGCCCGTGCCTGTTCTCCGCACCAAGTCTGTGGTGCGTTTCGTCAGCCCTGTCCGGCCCGTTCCTGCTCTCCGCACCAAGTCTGTGGTGCGCATCGCCAGCCCAGTTCGGCCCATCCAAGCTCCCCGCACCAGGTCAGTGGTGCGCGTCGTCAGCCCGGTCCGGCCCGTTCCTCCTCCACGCATCAGGCCAGGGGCGCGTGTCGTCGGTCCGGCTCCGGCCAGCGGGGCTGGACAGGACCAGGGGTACTTTGGGGGGTTGGAGAGGAGGTGGGGATCAAGGACGGAGCCAGAGCCACCGCCGAGGAGGTGTGCCCACCCAGCCCTCCCTTGTTTAGCCCGTATTGAGGCGCGGTCGCAGTCCGCGCCTTTAGGGGGGGGTACTGTCACGCTCTGGCTCCGGGACTCTGTATAGTGAGCCAGGGTGTGTTCATTATTTGGGTGTATTTCTATGTTTGTATTTCTGTTGGGTGCATTTCTATGTTTGGTCAATGACTCCCAATCGGAGGTAACGAGTGTCAGCTGTCGGCTCGTTATCTCTGATTGGGAGCCATATTTAATCTGTATGTTTTCCTGTGGGTGTTGTGGGTTTTTGTTCGTGTTTGGTTGTGTATTGACCGTCGACTGTCACGTCGTTGTTTTGTTGTTTTGATCGGGTGATCATTCAAATAAATAATATGTTCACATTCAACGCTGCGCCTTGGTCCTCCTCCTCTATGTATGACGATCGTGACAAACATCATGAAACCATCATCACATTCAGTCTGTCTGTCTGGTGACATTTTATCACAGAAAATATCAATGAGAGAACGGTAAAAAATAAAGACATTTGATGCAAATATGGCCTGAATCTTACTTGTTATAGAGAACGAGGTCAGGGCGCCAAATGTCAGTGGAAGGCACTCTTATCTTTTTGATTCCACCATAATCCTCAGGATTCCATTGCAAGTTCACATCTTTCCATTGCTGGAAAATGACGGTACAGAGTACAAAGAGCATAAATAGAAAATATCAGATAGATTATTTGAAGTTCCTGAAATGAAGTCTGATTCAGATTAAATTGACAAAGAGGGATCATTTCAATAGGGAATTTTTCAGATAATGTTTTATTACAGTTTCTTATGGGGATTTTATACTGTATCTTCAGAAATAATTATGTAATTCCTTCTAATAATTAACCATACTTACAACTTCCTTGTAATTACTCTCTTACAAAATAGCCAGAAAGAAAAATACTTTAATCTCATATTTATATATTTATATATTTATAAACCTGTTTCAGTCGAACATTGCTGTTAACAATCTGGTTGACCTCATCCTGTAGAGAAAGATAATTGATTTTAGTTTCTACATAGTGTTCACAGTGATGTGAATTGCATGATAAATATTGGTTGATATGGGTTGTTGTGACATCTTTCTTACCACACTGATGAGTTGAATGAGCTGCAGGCCAACTGTAACCACCACTGGGTCCTTGAAGTGAGCGACAGGACGCACCACCTTGTTGTAGCCAGTGAACAGAGTTTTCACCAGACGGGTCTCATCATCAGAGCCCCAGGCAGAACCTACAAGGAACACAGAGACAGCTTGGTGTATGGCTCGCATGGTACAGTTTGAGAGATTTGGGGTTTACAGCATCAGAAGACTGATAGGCAGTGGTTAATGTAAGTGCAAATAGTATATTTAGTATTAAAGGGCTTCCCTCCTTCCTTCCCTCAGACCTTCCTTCCTTCTCATCCTTCCTTCCTTAATTACTTGACCATACACTGTTATAGACCAGTGGTATACTATCATCGTGGGATGCTGAAGGTGATAGAGATGAGAACTCCGTCAATACAGATAGTGTTTCAGACATGCCATCCGCTAGTTCCGTTACATATTTGACCTATGCCAGAGCGGTATCCCGTTTCATTTTCCCACCTGCCCTTGAAATGAAGCCTAGTTTGTGCAAGAGCACACCCCCGAAAGCTTGAAAGACGTTTTGAGACATTCAAAACAGTAAATCGATGAAGATTGGCTGCAAATATACAGTGTATTTCACGAAACTATCGACTTGTGGAGTCAAACACTGATAGATAGCACACACATGCCCCTGTCAATCAACAGAGCCTAATGCTGGATGCCTTTTAAACTATTCCAACATATCCAACAGTCACTAGCTTAGCTAAGATATACCTCAAGTAAGATTTGAAATCTTATAGTTAACTAAAGGATAAAGCATTACTAAGAATCAATGAGAAATTATCTGATGTAGATATCCCATGATTAATTAACTAGATTTGTAAGATATTCAAATATTGGTTTAGGATAGACTATCACCTCAAATATCCTGGCAAAGGTATGTTATAACCGACAGAACAGTCAGTCAGCCAACATGCATGGTTAGAATATGGCTTACCTGCTAGAATGATTAGAAGATGAGAAACAAAAACTAGAAGATTCATTTTTGTGTTATTTTCCCATAAAATCTGAGGTATCCAATGTCCTGAGTCTTCGAATAGAGGGTAAGCAGCTAGTAAGGTAACAACATTATTTCTGTCTACTTTAAAACGTGGTCAAAATAATGGCAACGCTGACTTGCTGCTTCATGTTCTGTAATGGGGAACAGTATTGTTGTTCCCTGGCACCATATGTTATGAGCCACCACCAATAGCTGTCATTTGAGAGGGTCACATTCTTTGTCGTCCCTCACATGTTATAAGCTCTACATGCCTGGCTAATCTGGCACTGAAATATCTCACAGTGCAGTACTTCCCATAATAAAAGACAGTAATAGCCTATGGCTGCTTTCCAAAATGATGCTATTTGTTGTGATATATTTACAATCAGGCTACTCATGATATTTGATACTGGTCCCATTGGTTAACTTGTGTTACATTATAATGTCCTTTCCAGAATAATTATTTGGGAATCCTATATAAGTAGTTTGAGAAAAACACAATGATTTTACATGTCAAATACAGTAATCAAACCAAAGTTGTCCTGTTTGATCTCTAATAAAGATGTTATGTCTCCCTCTGAGGGTAATGTTGGACTTCAACATGTCCACAACATCTACCCCTTCTAGCTACTGCAATGAGTTTCCAGGTGACCAGGCATCACACCCCAACACCACATCTCCACTGTACACCTGCCCCTCCCCACCAAGGCAATGATGGGACCAGGCAAATCAATTTCCCTACAGCCTCCACCCGTTCAATCAGCCAGTCACTCAACCAGTCACCTCGTTCATCTTATTTAGTGGCAAATTGCAATTTTGGCAATGTCTGAATTAAGAGAGATCTGTCTCTCCACCCCATCCATCCACCCTCCCCATACCAATCATAGACCACCTGAATCTTACAACCTCTAAGTACCTCATGCCTGGACCCAACCCATGTGACCCTGGAGCAACCCATTGAATCTGCTCATTCAACCTCACCATGGTCAGGCAGTGGGACTGTGTCATCCTATCGTTGCGGTTGAGAACCAGTTTGTTCTTTCAGCAGGAGTCGGCCCTTATATAGCCCTGCGGGAGTTTCTCTCAGTCAGACCTATTTTAGTCTCTATTCTACATGTGATTAAAATGCTCTCTTAACATGAATAATAATAATGTGGTGTCTGTGGAACATCTGCTGGGCATGACCGAGCATTGAGCATCTCCCGCTGCATGTTTCTGCTCCCTACGAGATTATGTGGATTACGCTTTCCGTGGAGGAGATTATTACGTGTGTTACTGGGATATTTTCACACAATATTGCGCCTCAAAAATAGCAGTTTAGTTATACGTGTATTGTTTATGTTCTGAAGATAAATTATAGTTACAATCAATGTATTCTATTATTGAACATGAATTACAATTACAGCTATTCTAAGATGTTGTAAGGGTATTTTACAGTAGGTAAATTGTTTCATGTACATTTTGTTTCATGGGTATGATTGGTGGGGGAAGGGATGGAATGGTTGTATAGTATGGGACGTTTGTATTTGGTGATGCAATTTAATTCAATGTATGCCTATGCAGTTTAAACATGTCCCCAAATTCCTACAATATGATAGTGACATACGCTATAGAAAAATATAGTAAATGTCCACATTCAGAACTCAACATACTACTACTGTATCTGGGACAAGCATTGCATCATACAGTACATACATTTTCACTTCACATGGCTGAACTGAATATTTCAGCATATTTTAGCATTTGGAAATGTAGGTCAGCCTATGCAGGAAAAAATGTCGCACAGCTTCATCCAATCAACCGAGAGAAGACAGTTATCTCATGGATCAGATGCACTAAAACATTTAGATTCATTAATGTGAATATGAATCAGCCATCTCATGGTAAATTTAGCAAATACTATTTGATCTGCATGAAGATAGGTCTGTCATAACATTATCACAGCAGTAGTCTGAACATGGGTTTCTTGGTTTGGTCTACTGGCTGCAGCTAATGCAGATGCATAATAAATAGCTGGAATTAAATCGAATTAGAACAAATTACAATTTTGTTGACCAATCAACCAAAACTAGAGCAGAATTATTTCACCATTAGTTCAAACCTAATGTAAATGATAAACCCCAGCGAAAAAGATGTCAAGAATTCCTGAACAGGTATAAACTATACTGAAGCATGAATACATTAGCCACAAAGATTTGAGTACAAAATGAGAACGTGTAAAAAAAGCATGAGGTGCTAAACACAGAAAAGCTTGGGGCAGGTTAGAGTTTATGGTTTTTAATAATCTAACCTAAAAGCGGAGTGTTTCCACTACGAGAACAATGGCAGAGCATTTAATGGGATTTCATATAATGGGATTTCACATGGGGCTTCACATGCTGTCATTCAGGATGGCTGTGGTTCTCCACCAGGAAACCATGGCCAGTGAGATCTCCTAAGGGATATACTACAAAGCAGGATCAAGGAATTAGCCAGCTAACTTGCCTAAATATTTTGAATTAACTTTTAATTTTAAAGAAAGTTAAGCTTAAAATGGGCATGGTCTAATTGACTCAACAACCAAACACACATCTATAGTCAGGTCCATAATTATTGGCACCCTTGATAAAGATGAGCAAATATATATATATATATATTGGCACCCCTGTTTTCAATACTCTAGCACCACTGAGACTTTCTCTAAAATATTTTATGAGATTGGAGAACACATTGGTAGGGATGTTAGACCATTCCTCCATACAGAATATTTGATTTTGTGGTCAATTAACCATTTATTTGTGGATTTTGATTAGTCCTTGGGTTATTGTCTTACTGTAAGATCCACTTGCGGCTAAGTGTCAGCCTCCAGGCAGAGGCAACCAGGTTTTTGGTCAAGTTCATGATGCCGTTGACGTTAACAATAGCCCCACAACATCAAAGGTCCACCACCATATTTTACTGTAGGTATGAGATACCTTTCTTCATATGCTTCTATTTTTCAATGCCAAACCCACCACTGGTGTGCATGGCCAAAGGGCTCTAATTTCATGTAGTTTTTTTGGCATACAATATTTAGCTCATTATTTGTATTATTTATTTTATACAGTAATTTTTGCTCATCTTTATCAAGGGATCCAATAAGTATGGACCTGACTGTTTAGCTTTCTTAATGAATCAGAAAATCAAACGTTTTTTACGGTTGCTTATTAAAGTTAGCTGGCTAACTCATTGATCCAATTTTATAGGATACCCCTCAGTGGAAAGTGTTTCAAACTCAATCAGGAAAAACACATGAACCAAAATAACAACAGCTTTTGTTCACTGGCAGTACAAATGCAAGGGTACACTTTGATCTTATAATGAGCCGCGAGTGAGGATGATAAGACATCACTGGTTTTTGGAAAATGTGTGGAAAGAAATTGCTTGTGGGGTAATTAAACCTAAAATGCATAAACCCCAAGTGACAATGTTTGCATATGTATCCAGCAATTAAAAATCTGGATGGAGAGAAGGCCGTGCCTAAAGGCATTGTGGGTTTTGTGTTAATCTCAGAGCGAATCAGTGTGATTGACGTATAGTTGGAGGGGATGCTGCACACGGTCATGTGGACCCTGGACCGTCTATAGCACTGTCTGTTCATCTCAATATGCAGATTGAGAGGAACAGCCCCCTTTATCAAGGTCATTTTGCAAGTGCGCGCAAATGTAGAATGCCATGTACCTCAATGACTGCTGTCTGGACTTATTTTACCATATTCTAAAATGAACATGCACTGCAATAAATGCTTATTCAACAGCTTCATTGTTACTGGAACAATTGAGATGACTCAGGGCATACCAGTTAATTTTCAGAAAGCAAGGTTTAATAAATTAAAATGTACATGGGCAAATTAAGTAAACAAATATTACAATAAAAAAAACATTAACTGCACAAATGTAGTAGTTTGAATGCAATAAAGTTTTGACTGTCAGGAAATGTAACAGAACATTTAAAAGTACACTGATTACTTGTTTTCTGATTGAAAGAGGCTTTGAATTTTCCCTAAAGAAGACTTGCATATAAAACAGCTGAAAAGGCAAAAAATACACATTCAGTCAAAGATCATTACAAAAGTTCAGAGAAGATACAGTAGTCTATTTCACATCCAGGTATACAACGTTTCACAAAAACCGTGCGGGAGATACTGTAAATCTACAGAACAAATAATAGCAGAGTAACAATTTCACAATCTTTACCACATGCTGGGTTACCGCTACAAAGCTATACAAAATCAAGACACGGCCAAGTCTGGTCCATCAGTGTTCTACACAAGCCCCGACAAAAATGGGGAGACAGACATGCAAGTTTAAGGTACATCATCATCCACACCCGTTACAGGGGAAGAAAAAGTATGGTTCAGCACTGATCCACTAGAAGTGGAAATGGATATATCACAAATGTAATACAAAGATTCCTTACTATTCAAGTCCTTTCACAAAAAAAGTGATTAGGCAGCATCAAGCTATTTTTACTCTTTTCTTCCATATCTTTCAGAAGAGGATGTCTTCATTTTTTATGAGGAACTCCACCACCTGTCGTTGGTAGCGGATGTCGTTGAGTGCCGTCATGACGTCCAGGTTTGGGGCACGCAGGAGGGTGGGCCCGAAAACAATGCCCAGGTTTTCGGCATTCATCAGGTTGTCCTTCTCATTCAATGTTACCCTGAAGAAGAGGCACATCAAGGAGAGGCAATTAACAATCTGAGCACTCAATTATAACCATATGTCTCAGATAAACAAACATGCTCTTACATATCACCAGGGTAACAAATTGTTTTGTAGAGAAGAGAGAGGGTGTCGATCACTCACCTCTTTAAATGGGCCATGAGGTACCTCAGGGTTTCACTGTGTGCTGCAGGCAGCAGTTCCAGAGCCTCACGGAAGGCCTCTTGCTGCTTCTCTGGGTCTTCCAGCTCTGAGAAGCAAACAGAAGCACAGGATCAAAGCAGAGCAGTCTCTCTGTCTACAGACCCTCACAAGACACTCTCAAAACCTCCCATAGAAACATCCGTGCTCAATGGTTCTCACTGAAATGATTTACTATCATGTGGGTTGTTCCACCTCAAAAAGCACAAGAAAGACGATTTTGAAACCCACCATCTCAGATTGTTCTGAAATTGTTTCTGTAGTTAGAAACAGATAAGATAAGCATTACTGAAAGATATATATTTTTTAAATATAATTTGATCTCTGAGAAATTAAGCTAATTGATTGCACCCAAATTGGCCATTTTAATTTATAGCTGAAGCTGTGGCTCTATATGTACTGTGACTAGTGACATTTACCATTAAACCCAACCCAACCCAACGCAACCCAATACCATTACAATTGCAAAACACTATACAGTGTGTGTTTGGGCCTTTTACCATTGAAGACCATTAGAGACCATAACATTGAAACCATTAGAACTGCTGTAGGCTAATGGTTTGCTTGTTCACCAGGAATGGTCTAACAGTAACTAATCCAGACCTTTTTTGAAGGGGGCATTTCCTGGACACAGATTAAAGCGTAAAAGAAGAACACTTTTATTTGCTTTCATGGAGGACTGGCTTGAATTGTGAGGATGACCACAAAATGTATTTTAATCATGAGCCAAATCTATTGGTTTTCTACCCAAAGTTGCAAAGGCATTGTTGTGAACTATTGAATAAAACAAAAGAGACCAACAAAATGGTTAAAGAGTGTGGCGGTATTGCAGGTACAGTGGCATCTAGTGGTCAAAACCTGGTACTTTCACAGTACTTTACGGTAAATAATGCAAGATAATTACTAATTTCTCTGAACAGGGGAAAAAAAACATCACCAGATTCACAGAGAATACATTTCATTGTAGGGAGAAGCAATACTCCAAGCCGCAGCTTCATACTACTTGTCATACATAGAGAACTGATACTGTATACTGGTTGTTGGGGTGGGATTGGCATGGGGTGTAGGCGTCTGTGGGTGGCTTTTTACTTTTCTTTTGGATTCATCATGTCTTAAACATTGGTAGGAAGAATTTGGTCCAAATCGGATGTTGGGTACTATATTTATTGAATATTATCTGAATCCTATAAATTAAATGGCCAATTTGGGTGCAATCAATTAGCTTAATTTCTCACAGATAACATTTAATTTAAACAAAATAATGTTTCAGGAATGTGAATCTTACCTGTTTCTAACTACATAAATACTTTCAGAACAATCTGAGATGGTGGGTGTCATGGCTTGCTGAAATGACATGGAACGACTCATGTGATGAACACAAGTGGGGTTTTCCCCTTCAAGGAAGAGATCAGAGTGCACTCAAGATGTGTTGTTGAAGTCGATATAACTGACTACCACACAATAATCGTTTTCTAAAACAGAACCATAAAAACTTCAAACGGAGAGAAGCATCTGATGCTCATTTTATGTGGACAGCATGAAAGTACATTACATTCTCCACTGAATGCCCAGGATTGTTAATAATGATACCTAAATAGTGGAAATGCAGTAAAGCACAGCAATGAAAACTCAAAAACATCATGATCTATTTTGCAGAATCATTTCTGAACACTCATAGAGCAAAAAGGAAGACCTGGATAAATGTTCACTGAATGCATCCATCATGCATCATGGCTTTAATGTTGAGGGATTTACATAATTCAACCACAGATATGAAAAGGCACACCAATGGCAGTTCTTCTTGCATGGTACATTTTCCGTGGTGCTGGTGCATGACTGAAACAATTATATATAGTTTTAACTAGCCGAGAAGAGGAAAAAGCTGCTTATGTTGAACTCACTTGCAACCTCAATGAACCTGGGGTAGGCATCGTATGAGATGACAGGAATGGGTAAATCCCTGAGGTACAGTTTAAGTGCTCCCGTGATGATGTTGATATCTTCATATGCGTTCGCAGAGATGTCTGTCTTCTCACCATCTGTGAAGAGATAGAACACATTCGTTAGAAAATAGGAAAAAACTGTCTGGACGTGCATAAGACACTGCGTTAAAAAATTTTTGCTGATTGAACTCAAGGAAATTTAGTTTAATCAGCATGGTGTGCTTGTGGCGTAGTGTGAAGAAGTGAGGAATAAAGGGATGTGTCACTGTGGGGGATGAAATCTAGGCTGGTCCTCTGCTTTGATTCGCCTGGCCTGTTTTACTCTGACTGCTCCTGAGTTCTACATGGCATCCAGAGCAGGCCATGGCCTAATTCTGCTGAGGGTCTCCATATCACAGTGTTGTGAGCTGGAATGACACTCTGTCATGGGTGATCTCCCATACACTGGTCTATCTAAGGTTTAGCCCATAGCTCCAGGGTCCCCCAATCCATTTCTAAACTCACTCTGCACTGGGCAGAGAATGGGGCAGACTAACTACCTCTTTAACTGGAGTAGATAAATTAAGTTGGAGGTTTAATACTACGGTGAATTACATTTCGGTCAGCTACGGTCTTTGGACTAGTCCAATCATTTGCCATCCCCAGAGCTGGCCCATGGCCCTGTCTGTAAATCCTGTGAGTGGACCGTGTCAGGACAAGCCGTGCTCTCCCAGATGGAGATTAATCTCTCCACAAATGTGTCACTTTCCCATTAATCCCAAATATGTAAACACATCGCATTGTCAACATTTAACTCAAAGATTAGTTCAATGTAAACCATCACATTGAGTACACATAGAGGCGCTAAGAGCTGACAAGCATGCTATTGTGAGAGGCACCCGAGGGGTTTGTTAACACCCAAACAGAAGGATAGGGTGTCAAAAGAGGACATACCTCTGTCAAATGCCGACTTGACATCTTCGACTGAATCACTGAATCCTGATATTCTGTAGAGCCCTTCAGACTTCAGACCTATGACAGAGAGATAGAGAGGGTTTAATGAAACATTCTGCTATACATAACATAGGACTGAAGTGGGCATCCAAGAGCAAAATAAATACAGGCAAATTCACCTTCAGCGGTCACCTTGGGCAACATAGATAATTTAATTAACAGCTCTTCAATATGCATGAGAAATTAAGAATGTCTACAATAGCACACAGGGAATAACATGGACAGATGCAAATCGTTTTCTGCATCACTGGACAAAATAATAAAGACATAAATCAAACATAGCATTAGTTACACACGTAGATTACCGGGCTAGACAATGAGGTAGAAATAAGGCTTCTACATCGTTGAGTGATTATACTGGAATGTTATCAACTGAAGCAGCAACAACACAGTAAACTATTCTCCATTACATATGTACAATTACCAGGCCTCCCATCAGCTCTCCACATCATATTAATGGATAGGACCAACATTACAATCATTAGTCCTTCACCTTCTACTACCTACACTGAATTGGGTTTGTGTGCAAGTCCACATGGTGATTGATACATCTAGCCATTACATTACTTTACATTACAATTCCATTACAATTCTCAAAATATAACATTTCCCGAAAAGGAAAGAGGGAGTGAATAGTGTAATTTTCAAGTATTTGAATAGAGCCATGGCCATCTATCTTCTGCTCACCTCTTGATTCGATTTCCTGTATGCACATGTCCACCACCATGGGTCGCTTGGTGTTGTGAGCTTTCACCAGGGTTGTGAGCTCACAGCTGTACACTTTCTTGACATGTTTCAGGTCTGGCACGCAGTTGCGGGGTACCATAGTGGAGCACTGCTTGTGGACGTTCAAACCACAATCTGAAAGAAAGGAGGAAGTGGAAAGTCAGAATGGACAACCTAAGAGGGATATCTTCTAATGATACTGTATCTTCCAGAGAAATAATAGACCAGATTGAGCATTGAAGTGTACCAAAATGAATAGCCTGCATCCCCCAAATTGCTCATTTCATTTTAGTCGACTGGCTTGGTTTGTTTTTGCTTGCTAAGGCCTACATCTTCTTGATCAATATTTGCCGTCAGCATGTCATTGGACCACTGGAGAATTGTGTCCTAGCTGATGACTTCACTCTCTGGTCAGCTTCCAGGGGTGTTATTGGAGTCACCTTGAGCACTGGAGTGGAACACAGGTCCACAAACAATCCCTCATTCAGACAGTGTGCCGTTCATGCATAAAAATTATTCATAACAAATTCAACAAAGTTTAATCTTATAGCTACCAAATTTATAGCTACCAAATTTATTCAGGATTTTCCTATGTGGCTTGGTTTGTTTTTGTCATTTTTACACACAAAAATATTTGTAGCTCAACATGCTCCTCATTTATGTCTTCTAAGCAGTGAATATGTAGTTTCAATGAGCCTTCCACACTGCTTTTGCCTTCAGTGCTAGTGACTGGGGCCTCAGAATCAGAGCAGGTTTCACCTTGTAGGGAACACAGCACACTAATAAGCACAGCAGCCCACAGAGAGCAGACGCAGAGCGACTCCTGCTCTACTTTGTAACAGAGACTCTTAGAGGGAATTAGAGGCGCACTGAAAATAATGTGGCCTGGAGGAGGGAGAGTCAGGCCTGCACGCTCCATTCTCCTCCAGAATCTGGGCTCGCACACAATGGCCGTGCAGGCAGCAATTTGGCCGCGGCGGGCAACACTAGACCTAGTTTCAGAGGAAATATGAATATAATTTTTGCTCCTCAAATATCAATAATTAAAAAATCACAAAAAGACCATGATCTACCGATATAGCTACACAGATTTTGATTAACATGAGCCCTCAGAGAAATTTCGCAAGGCTTTATTCATATGCATTGATGCAGAAATGTAATTACCTTTAAGAGATGATTCTCTTAAGGGTATGAGACAGGCAGTGTAATAGAGGGCAGCCTCTCACCAGACACAAGGCTGCTGAACTGGTGTTGTGCATGTGAGCACGCAAGCACACACACACACACTGATGGCCCCTGGGTCCCAGGTGGGGTGGGAGAGCCCCGAGGGAGCCTGCAGAAAGACACTGCTTTACTGCACTGTCAGCTCTGTTGCCATGGCGAGGAGAAGACACTCCAGTGAGGATAAGCTCTGCCCTGATTTGGCTAAAAGGGTTTGACACTTGATGTGGGGTAAGAGGTAAGGGGCCGGTCCCACTAGTGGCCAATCAACACATTATCATGTAGTTTAACCTTTACCGTGCCTGGGATCCCCAATGGTTCTCTATCTCACCATCTCTAATGGAAACAGCATAAAACACCATCTCTCATGGCAGCAGCATATATAATATTCTATGTAGTTTTCCATCATGCATAGAATTGGGATGAATAGAGAATGGGCTGTGTGACCTAGCTTTCTGGGTTTTAATGCGGGTGGAAATGGAGTTCCTTCCCAGTGCTCGGAGCCCCGCTCCACATTAAAGAGCTTTGTTTTCCTTCACGGGCATGATGGTATGAGACTGGGGGGCGTCCTCTGATGAGGAAGTGTGGCACAACAAGCACTGGCAGGGGCTGGCTTCCTGGCGCTTGCCCAAAAACACATACAGAAATAAAGGGGGAGCACATTTTTGGAATGCAAATTCAAACATCACATAAGACTTCACTGTCCTAGATTCCGGTCGCCATGGATTTAGTCTGAAGGAATGGCAAAAAATTCTACAGAGAATCTCCAAAAATAGGCGCTTTTCATTCGATTGTCAGCTGCTTTCTAAGGCAACGCATAAATTATTCATGGCTCAGCTTCCACAGACATATGTGTGGCTCACTATGTCGCATCAATAACACGTTAAACACACACATCAGTCCACTTTAATGCCTTATTCAGGAAGGATCAACACCTGGGAACTTATTTTTATCAGAAAACAATGACAAAAAATCAGTATTTACCCATACAAAAAAAATTTATACAAAAATATTCTGGAAAAAATATGTGGTTTCAGACATTTTTAAATTATTTTTTTACATGTGAAATCTTCATGAGTCCAACACGTGGTTTTCAGACACGTGTGAAGTTTCACATTTACATTTTTCACGTGTTTTCCCTCGTCATTTTTTTCGTCCCCACATTACATTTATTTTCCACAAAAGTAACTCACTTAATAGAAGATTACACCATATAATAACACTATTACTCTATTCAAGGTGTTTAAAGCGGCAATCCTTAATTGAAACATTAACCAAGTGTACTCCCCGCCACAGTTTCGGAAAAAAGCTGAGGGATGGGGCTGGAGAAATGCAACCACTCTTAAATCCATAGACTACGCTAAGGATGCATGGACTGACCATCCATGATATCAACATTTTCGTTTTAACCATGTTTTTAGGCTATACAGTGTTTGTTTACATTTACTTTGCTTACAAACATTGGAGTAAATGTGGAGTTTTCTTACATGTGAAACAATCACGTGAATGTTTTTCACAAGTGAAACTGCATATCCAATTCCCACGTGAAAGTTAACATGTGAAACCACAAATTTCACGCGAAACTGCAATTCACAAGTAAGTTGAAAACATGTAATTCTCCTCACATGTTAAAATGTGGTGTTAACATGTGAACTCTACATTTAATACATATGAAAATATGGTTTCATATGTGAAATTTAAGCTCAACATGTGAAAACAGAATGTATTTCAAATGTGAAAATGCGATTTCACATGTGAAAATACGATTTTCACATGTGAAACTGCAAATTTGACATGTATTTTTTTGTAAGGGTGGTGTGTCCAAAAAATGTTTTCTCTCAAGCTAAATAGTTAATCCTTTCTAGAGACCATTACAATGGCAAAGCATGCATGCACTGCAAAAATATGATCCCATTAAAGTATTTGACATACTACATTCATAGGATGCCACAATTATGCCCCATTTTTACGTTATCCTAGCATTATGAAACGTCTTGTTACCTAATATCCTGTGATATTAAAAATGATATTAAATCACTATAATACATTAAAACAATAAAAAATAACATCACTTAGATGGGAACAAAGGAATCTCATGACTATACTGTACATCCTGTAAATGGCTGCAAAACATCAGCTACTAGTTATTGTTCACAAGGCAGCAAAATCCTTCAACTAGTAATATCAGTCCTGATTGGATAAATAGGCCTAGGCGTACGCGTTAGAACATTGTGAATCTATTCAGAGACCATCAAGTGAGTATTTCCACATGAATCCACACAGGCATTCTCAACCCCCCACTTCCCCTGCAACTGGAGCACAGAGAGAGAGAGAGAGAGAGAGAGAGAGAGCTAGAGAGAGCGAGAGAAGACAGAAGAGAGAGAGGGCGAGAGAAAGAGAGAAAGGGGGAGAGAGAGAGAGAGAGAGAGAAAGGGCGAGAGAGAGAGGGAGAGAAAGAGAGGGAGAGCGAGAGAGAGAGAGAGAGAGAGAGAGAGAGAGAGAGAGAGAGAGAGAGAGAGAGAGAGAGAGAGAGAGAGAGAGAGAGAGAGAGAGAGAGAGAGAGAGAGAGAGAGAGAGAGAGAGAGACAGTCTGAGTCTGGACGCCACTGTACATTATGATAATGGACTGATCAATATGACAGGATATGGAGTGCATATAGAGTGCATATAAGTCCACTATTAGTCTGACGTTGAGTGGAAAACAACTGCTTTGAACATTATGTGAGAATATGGGAACTCCAGGATATTTGCATTAAAGCTTGTCATTTGAACAGTGGAATAGTAGCCATAAGTAAACTCATTGACCTCTCATTCATTAGTACGGTAACACACAATCTGCTCTTAAAGCAAGGCATTCACATTAGTGGGAGTATGGATTACATCACACTGAGTAAATGCTTGATACTGAGTTCTGATTTCACTCTATTATACAACTCCTCTAATCTGTTCCCAACACATGGTGGGATTTTAGATTAAGGGATGCAATATGACACATACTTACAAACACTCACATTAAAAACCAGGTTACCCACATACTGGGGTGAGAACATCAAAGTCCATTACATAAATAGAGAACAGCATTTAGTTAAGTAACAGCAGCCAGCAGCAGCTGTATAGTGGCTATCTACTGTTAAGTATAGTACAGTATGTACCTGCACATTTGACTCCCTGAGCCTTCAGCCCCCACATGAAGTTGGCACAGTATTCACACCAGTGAGGTCCCCGGAACGTGTGGACCTGGAGGATAGAAAGAGAGCGAGAGAGAGAGAGAGAGAGAGAGAGAGAGAGAGAATGCGAGAGAATGCGAGAGAGAGAGAGAGAGAGAGAGAGAGAGAGAGAGAGAGAGAGAGAGAGAGAGAGAGAGAGAGAGAGATGGCAGTCAGAAGCTGCAGTCATGTACTGCATAGGTACCACACCTTCCCCAGGTTGTCCTGGAGAAAACCACAATGCTGGTGTCTTAAACTAGCCAGATAAGGGGATTATCTGTGTGTGTGTTGTAGATGAGGGATGTTTAGAGCCCAGTCAAATCTGACAGGATGCCTAATCCACTCTAACCGTTAATGAGTGTCCAGGCTGAATAGTAGTGGTGGTGATGTGATGCTGATGGAGAACGGGGGAGGGTTGGTGGGCACCGTTGACCCTGTGCCAGTGTGAGGGGGTATGTTGTCATGGAAATGTGCTACGGCAACAGTAAAAGGATTCTCACGCAGGGAAGGGAGCTCCCACTCCACCAGGCAACATAACAACAGCTCAGCCAATCAGGAGTGCCTGATCCAGACCTCTGGGGAGGAGGCAGAGCTGCCACGCTCTGAGGTGTTTTCCTACACGACGGTGGCAATAATGGCCCTTTGATATGAGGTGAGAATACTAGGGCCATCACCAATACACTGTTAACTCACTATGGGAGCAGGGAAGGCATGAGAGGATTAGCAGTTCATCAGACTATACTATTTGCAGGAGGGACTGGTTAGAATCTCTTTTGTGATTCAAGGTTTCCAGGGAATGAAAACCTTATTCTATTTGGTTCGAATACCTGAGCCAACAAGGTGAAAAATCTGGTGATGTGCCCTTGAGCAAGGTACTTAACCCTAATTTGCTCCAGGGGCGCCGTACTACTATGGCTGACCCTGTAAAATAAAATATTTCACTGCACCTATTTGGTGTATGTGACAATAAAACATTTTTGTTGTGTGTGTGTGTGTGGAAAAAACAGAACATTTAATTAACCCATACAACTTAGCACTAGTTGTTGTGTCTGGCCTATTTGGTTAAGTTTGTCTCCAATGTTCATTTTTTAAATAATATTTTGTAATCATAACTTCAAAGAGATATGTTGGTTGTACAGATGATCAGGATGATTATTGATTTTAATGCTCTGTCAATAACTATTACACACTAACCATATCAGCCCAGATTGCTTCCTGTTGTGGAGGGAGCTTGAAACATTAGAGTTAAATGTGTGACACCCTTAAAATTGTGAAACGGAGCATTCAGCATGGAGGACTGCATGGCAGAGTAATAAATAAATAAGAAAGGAGGGAAGCAGGAAGGAGTACTGTAAGTGTCAGCAGTTCTAGAGCCTTTGAGGGAATGTTTCTCCCACAGCTCCCCACTTCATTAACTAACCCAAACAGTCAGAGCAGAGCAGGGGCTAAGTCTGCTGACTGGAGCCTAATGGGGATACCACTCCTCCACTGTTCCCCCCTTCCATCGCCTAATATCCCCATCTGGTGCCCAAACCAACAACAGTGGACTACAGACCGCCCAACATATTTCCTTTTGAAAAGGACTCAGTGGACAGATTCAAAACAGTCCTGTTTTCTCACGCTTTCTCTCGCCCCATAACCCCCCAAACAGACCTTCTGGTGGCCAACTGCCACCACAGCAACATAATACAAAAAAACCACCACCTGTCTACAACATGCTGAAATACAAGCCATATTTTAGAGTGGAATGGCATGAAGAGGTGAAACAGAACTACTGTTCCTGTGGCAATCTGTCTCACCTTGAAGTTGTGGACTTTTTCATACTTGTGCGGCAGGCTGTTATCCTTCAGCGTGGCTTTGCGGACCAGCGAGGTGAGCTGTGAATAGGCAAACAGTTTGAGAGGCTGCCAGATAGTGGCTGGAGGTTTCTGGGGTCCTGAGATCCTCATCCCCAGAGCAGCCACTAGGATGTCCTGCTGGTTGGCCTCCTGCTTAGCCTTGTGCACCAGGGACTTCTCTCCCTTCCGGATCTCATAAGACTCCCTGGATGGCATTCTGACAGTCAGGTTGGCCAAATCAGATGAACAAGCAGCAAACCCTATAGCGCAGTCCAAAAAGTTAGAGGCCCCCTGGAAAAGAACTGGATGTTTACAGCTAGTCTAAACTATGTAATATTAATTGCATTGTTCCAATTGGACAATTCTCAACTAAGTGAACAAAAAGAGCACATACAAATCGCAAAATCCGAAACGCAAAAGATCTGTCCTCCTTTAAATCCTCTCACCACAGAGAGAATTGGATGAACGATGCTCCAACGATTAGAGTCTCAAGTCCTGTGATGGTTGGAGTTAGATAGAAAAGAGAAAAAGCCTTGGGTGCTCATGTGTTCCCTGAATGTGTATGCAGATGAGCTGATGTTGTGTTAATCCTCTCCTCCCTGTGCAGAGCTGATATATTGTCTCTGGAACAGAGACAGCACAGTGTGTACTGTGGATGGATGCTGCCAGCACTACCAGAGTGAGGGGGTAGAGGAGTAGTCACAACAGATTAGATGGATCACACTGGCCAATCGTAGTGAGGCAGGAGGCTGCTTAAGCTTCATCGTTGCAGTTTCCCCGCCCCCACAACCCCCCTCTCAGATCCAAAGCAGGAGAGCTTGGGTAGGAAGAGTCGGAGTGAGCGTGGGTTGATAATGAGCAATGAATGAGTCATGCATCATCAATGAGCTGCCACTGCCCACAGCTAATGACAGAGGTGGGCTGTTGGAGAATGGGCTATTTTCAAAATCTGGTTACCAACCATTTCCTGTTCCAGGGACGACAGAGTCCTGTCCCCACTGTCCAATTTGATATACAGAAAAACAAATCTCATATTTTCAGGTATATCTTTTTTTATACATGTTTAAACCACATGAATTTACCACATGAAACATTTAAACCACATGCATTTTCACAAAATTTAATTCACAAAAATATGAATAATTTAGTTGGATGCGCTATGAATAGGGAGAGGTGATGCAAGGCCATGTTTTTCAACTGCAATAGTCTGCCTGTAAGCCTATATTTCAGTTACCATGCAGACATCCCAGGGAGAATTAACCCAGATGTGCTCATTCCACACAATTACAAGCTCCTTTGGGTACGCTGGAGCTTTGTTTTGTTTCCTGGCTTCAAATAGATAAACACATTAAAGTAATATGTCAATGAAGAACATAATGAAATACAATTTCATCTAAATTCTGTTGAAGAATCTGGTAAATTTTTCCAATATCAGCTATGTAAAAATAATGCACTGAATTTTGAAATTTTTATCACAGAATTATACTGAAAAAATTTACATTTCTCGTAATACCAAAATTCACAGATCCTGTAGTCTAATATTTCATTTTTAATACAAAACTTCACAGATGACTTGTATGATATTTCTTAATTACTATAATAAGAAATGGAAGAGGAAAACATTAATTGAGCCTCTCTCTCAGTAGGATTCTGTCTGAAATTGTGCTCATTTATTCTATTACTGATGCCAGCACGGATGGTATGCAAATTCTGCATCACATATAGAGCACAATTAAAGCGGCATTTTGGGAATGATCTGAAACCTGCTACAATCCACACAGCGAGTCAAATGTGATTATACTCCCCGATCCCAGAGGCTGATTTGGGCTCAGCTGTTAGAAAGCCATCCTCAAACCTCTTAAAAGAGACTGGAGGTGGAGTAGCCTAGTATGAGTGCACATAGACTCACTCTTCATGCAATCTATAAGGGAAGAGCTTATTGATGGTTTGTGTATCCCCCAACACAGAGAGATTGGGCAAAATGAGAGCTGCTAGAGACGAGCTCCACAAACAAACACCGGCTTTGAGGATCCCTGCAGGTATGAGCACCCAAGGCTTTTTCTCTCCCGAGTGGCGCAGTGATCTAAGGCACTGCATCGCAGTGCTAGCTGTGCCACTAGAGATCCTGGTTCGAATCCAGGCTCTGTCGTAGCCGGCCGCGACCGGGAGACCCATGGGGCGGTGCACAATTGGCCCAGCGTCATCCAGGGTAGGGGAGGGAATGGCCGGCAGGGATGTAGCTCAGTTTGTAGAGCATGGCGTTTGCAACGCCAGGGTTGTGGGTTCGATTCCCACGGGGGGCCAGTATGAAAAAAATAAAAAAATTAATAATAATGTATGCACTCACTAACTGTAAGTCGCTCTGGATAAGAGCAGCTGCTAAATGACTAAAATGTAAAAAATTTAAATGTAAAATGGCATCGCATAACTGCTGTGTGCTTAACTGAGAGGGACTTAGCCTGGACATGAAAAACATGAAACAGAGGCTTCCAATGGAGCGCTCCTCTTGCACACTGTGGAACCCTCTCTCTTCAGGAGGTAGATAGCTACATGTGAGAGGCAGATGAAAGGGGGCCCAGGCCTTTCAATGCAGCCGTCCACCCTCACAGACCCTGGGTTCTTTAGGAGGCTGTGCAGAGTAATTATGTTGCCTGCTGTTAAGTATGGAGAGAGCATCTGACACCCAGGATGTGGCCTTACTTTGAACGCTCCTCTAATTGACACTGATTGACGGGACTCGTTTCTCAAACATGTCCCAAGTTGGGCCTCTTGAAGAAAGGACGGATGCAAAAGCAGTTAACTTAATACCTTTTGCTTCTCCATCTAGACACGTGTCCATCTGGGCAAGTCTGGGCAAGTCTGGGCATCTGGGTTCATTTGTCTCCGAATGCACCTGCCATGTCTCTGATGATGTCTCTGATGTGGTCTAAACAAGATTTCTTTACAACCATCCAACAACAAGCATTTTGTGTGGAGTCTCTAGAAATACATGTCACGCAAATAGAAAATACATTTCTGTTGGATTGAAATTCTTTTGGATTTTTTGTTGCACTAATACAAATGTACAGACAAACATGTTTCTTAATATTCTCATTCATAATATTCTCTTCACAAAATGAACAGTAAACTATTTGTGAGTTGGGATAGAGGTTAAGTAATAAAAGTTGTCTGTGGCGGACAGCAAGGTTGTTATATAATGTAATGTTCTCTTAATGCACTTCTCTGGCCTAGCACCATCACAAATGGGCTATTAAAGTGGACAGGGTTTCTCTCTCATGTTCAGGTCATAAACTCTTACTGGGCACAACTTCATAGACAATTAACTGGGAAATCAATGTCTTACTTTGAGAGCATAGATTAGGGGTTAAAGCCATTGCTAAAAATTAGCATTTTAGCGGAGTTAATTATCTAGATACTTGTTAAGTATGTTCTTAAAAAGGTATTACTGTATGTAAATGAGGAGGAGGAGTGGTGCTGGCAGTAGCAGGATGGATTCACACTAGAGGAAGGTTGAATAAGACTGAGGCTGAGAGAACAATTGTACATCTCTCCTCAGCCTTGAACAGAACCAAGGATCATTCGGAGCGTTACATAACTGATGAAGTAATCTGTGATACATAATCATGTTCTAATCAGAAGAGCAGGATCATTCTAATAATGGATTATGAGAAGGCTCTTTGTGAGGTCAGTTGATTGATCCCATAATAACTAGGGCAGTCCAGAATTGGCCAAATGTCAAAAAAAAAGAAAAAGGCTCAACATTTAAAGCAGGTCCTAACAACCCTAAGGGAAGAGTGGATGTCTGATAGTCTACAGTTCTCAATACAGTGTTTCATAAAGAGCTGTACCACTCTAGCCTGGGAACCCAACCTGGTCTCAGAGCATTTCTGTAAAGTAGAAGTAGGGAGTCAGGAAGCAAGTGCAGTTAGTGAGTTTAATGACGAAGAACATTGAACAATACAAAACAAGAAAAGCGTTTAAACATGGAAACATAAACAATATTGCCTGGTGGGTGATCACAACAGAGTGCTATATAAAGGGGAAGTAATCAGGGAAGTGATGAAGTCCAGGTGTGCCTAATGAGGCGCAGGTGGGCATAATGAAGGTTGCCAGGTGTGCATCAGGATGGGATGCCAGGACCGGTGGTTAGTAGACCGGCGACATTGAGCACTAGAGAGGGGTAGCGGGAGTGGGTCCACGGGGCCAGGGCCGGCTGGTACCCCAGGATGCACTGGAAGGGAGACAACACGGTGGAGGAGTGATGAAGTGAGTTCTGGGCGTACTCCGCCCAGGGGAGAAACCGGGCCCACTTCCTCTTCCGGTCCTGACAGTGACTCCTCAGGAACCTCCCCAGCTCCTGGTTGGTCCTCTCCACCCATTCAGCCCGTTGGACTGAGGTCGGTACCTGGATGTGAGGCTGACCGTGACCCCCAGCTTCTCCATGAAGGCTCTCCATACACGTGACGTGAATTGGGGACCACGGTCTGAGACGATATTCTCCGGAAGGCCATAGTGCCGGAAGACCTGCTGAAACAGTGCCTCGGCGACCTGGAGAGCGGTAGGGAGACCAGAGAGAGGGATAAAACAGCAGGATTTGGAGAATCTGTCCAGAACAACCATAACAGTGGTGAACCATCAGACGGGAATATCAAATCATATTTTATTTGTCACATGCGCCAAATACAACAGGTGTATTCACCTTACCGTGAAATGCTAACTTACAAGCCCTTAACCAACAATGCAGTTCAAGAAAGAGTTAAGAAAATATTTACTAAATAAACTAAGGTCAAAAATAATAAAAAGTAACAAAATAAAATAACAATGTGCGGAGGTACAGGTTAGTTGAGGTAATTTGTACATATAGGTAGGAGTAAAGTGACTATGCATTGATAATAAACAGCATTGATAATAAACAGCGAGTAGCAGCAGTGTAAAAACAAATGGGGGGGTCAATGTAAATAGTCCGGGTGGCCATTTGATTAATTGTTCAGCAGTCTTATGGCTTGGGGGTAGAAGCTGTTAAGGAGCCTTTTGGTCCTAGACTTGGGGCTCCGGTACCGCTTGCCATGCGGTAGCAGAGAGAACAGTCTATGACTTGGGTAACTGGAGTCTTTGACAGGTGGTGATGCAACCGGCCAGGATGCTCTCGATGGTGCAGCTGTAGAACTTTCTGAGGATCTGGGGACCCATGCCAAATCTTTTCAGTCTCCTGAGGGGGAAAAGGTGTTGTCGTGCCCTCTTCACAACTGTCTTAATGTGTTTGGACCATGATAGTTTGTTGGTGATGTGGACACCAAGGAACTTGAAACTCTTAACCCGCTCCACTACAGCCCTGTTGATGATAATGGGGGCCTGTTCGGCCCGCTTTTTCCTGTAATCCACGATCAGCTCCTTTGTCTTGCTCACATTGAGGGAGAGGTTGTTGTCCTGGCACAACACTGCCAGGTCTCTGACCTCCTCCCTATAGGCTGTCTCATTGTTGTCTGTGATCAGGCCTACCACTGTTGTGTCGTCAGCAAACTTAATGATGGTGTTCGAGTCGTGTTTGGCCACGCAGTCGTGGGTGAACAGGGAGTACAGGAGGGGACTAAGCACGCACCCCTGAGGGGCCCCCGTGTTGAGGATCAGCGTGGCAGATGTGTTGTTGCCTACCCTTTACCACCTGGGGG